CATGAGCCTCTCCAAGATGACCATCAGGACCCGCGGCGGCAGCACCTACGACGTCCCCTTCTCGCCGCCCCTGTCGTCCTGGGCCGAGGCTCGCCCGCGCGTCATCGCCATGGACGCCACCGCCCGCGAGGCCCTCGGCATCAGCGACATCTACCTCACCGAGTACCGCTTTCCTAGGGGCTTCGACTGGGCGCCCTTCATCGGCGTCTGCTTCTACTACGTCTGCGCCGCGGGTCTGCCGTGGGTTGTGCCCGGGAGCGCGGCCTGGGATGTCCTCAAGCAAGTGTTTCCCGGCGGGCCTGAATGGTTCCGCTGGGTGGTCAAGACGATCTTCGGGATCGTCTTGGCGATTCACCTTGTCGAGGTCTACTTGCTGGACAAGTGGCGGCTGCAGAAGCACGGCGTGGCGAGGTTCTCTGGCCTGTGGTGGACGTGGGCGAGCAACATATTTGTCGAGGGCGTGACGACGTGGAAGAGGCTGGACCGGATCATTGCCGAGAAGAGAGCCCAGAAGGAAGAGAAGAAGCACTGATGCTGTTCAACCTCGGACGTTAACTAGGAGGAACGGATGCGACTGCGAAGGGGGTGGAGGGGGCGTCATGCAATGGTGGCTAGATTGCCACGCAGCTCTCCTGTACATACACATTAAATCCTGTATACATGCCACGACTCTTTGAAGAGGCCTAATCATAATTCATCCTTCTATTACAAAAGACTTATTCGCTTTCAGAGGTCATCCGCGTAGTTGTCATAGGTGCCCTGCATCGCCTGCGTGCTCACCCATTCTTCGCTAGCCAAGCCCGCCACGAACCTGTCTTCCAAATCATCAGGGTCCTTGTGGAAATCGCACGCGAAATCGCACTCTGGTATCTCTTCTTCACCAAAGTATTTGCATATAGACGCGTGTCGACAGGAGTTGATGTTCTCGCAGTAGTACGCCAGCGCCTGAAGGCTCCGTAGCCGCGACTCATAGTTGGAGTCCGCTTTCGTGTCGCTCTTGATCATCCGCGAGACACGCTCGAGGTCCTCCCGGCTGTAGTACAAGAAGCAATAGCTGGCGTTGCCGTCGCGGCCTGCTCGCCCGACTTCCTGGTAGTACCCCTCGAAGGACTTGGGAAGCCGCCAGTGCACGACGAATCGCACATTGTCCTTGTCAATGCCCATGCCAAACGCCGTGGTAGCCACGATGATATCGTAGCCCGGCTCGTTGTTGATCCAGTTGGTCAGCGTGTCTTCCTTGACGTCTTTGGGCAGCTTGGCGTGAAAGGGCCGAGCGCCGATGCCTGCGTCCCGAAGGCTGGCGGACAGCGACTCGCATTCGTCGCGAGACATGGTGTATATGATGCCCGAGACGTTGTCGGTCCTTTCACGATACTTGACCAGCTCGCTCTGCCGCGGTTCGGCGCGCCTTCGATCGTACACGCCGTGTATCCACTTGAGGAAATCCGAAAGACGGTTGTCGTCCTCGTCCTTTGTGTATCTGATCTCGAGATGAAGATTGCTTCTCTGGGGACTCATCAAAAAAGTCTTGATTCTTTCTGGCGTGGCATCGAGGCGCAAGACTTTGAGGATATCCTGCCGCACTTGGGCATTCGCCGTCGCCGTGAGGCACATGATGGGCACATCCGGAAACGTCTCCCGAAACCACGACAGTCGCTTGAAGTCTTTTCTGAAATCATGCCCCCACTCCGATATACAGTGGGCTTCATCGATGGCTATGCGAGCAAGCTCCCTCTGTCTGTGCACGAGCTGCAAGCGCTGGCGAAACCGCGAGCCCGAGCATAGCTCCGGGGTGACGTAGAGAAGCCTTGTTCTCGGATGGCCGCTTTCCAGATCGCGCTGGATGCGATCCCGCTCATCGAGTGGTGTGTTGCTGTTTAGGGAGCTGGCGTCGATACCGGCAGTTCTCAGGGCCTCTACTTGGTTGATCTACAGGGCAGCATCATCAGCTTATCGCCTCTATGTCGACGGGGCAACAGGCAATCAGCCAAATACCATCAAGCTCAGCAACGGCGAGACGACGATAGTAACTAGCCGAGACCCCCCATTAGCTCATCTCACTCCTCTTCTCTCCGAGACGTGCGACGCGTCTCGTCTGGTCCCTACTCACTGCCTTGGTCAATCACCGCCGGGAGCTGGAAGCACAGGCTCTTGCCGAACGACGTGGCTGCCTGGACATATACATCATAGCCGTCTAATGCGGCCTCTATAATCTCGCGTTGGTGAGGCCTTGGAGAAGAGACCAATGCATGTCAAGGTCAGTCTAATCCATCCCCAGCTCTCTGCAGGGCGATGACAGGAGCCGGGCCCTGCTGGCATGAAACCAGAAAGGCAGAGAAGCCGAGTCGGGGAAATGACGAGCGAGCTTACCTGAAATCGTCCTTGTGGAACTGCCGCCGGAGAGTGAAGCCGATGTCCGTGCATGAATTTGCCCGCTGCAGGGGGGGCATGGCAGAGACAAGAAGAGCCTTGAAGTGTCTAGGGCGGACTTCAGGGCGATGCAGTGAAGGAGGCGGAGGAGGCTGACCTTGGTTGGGTGAGTGAGTGAGTGGATGAGTTAGTGAGTAAATGAATGAATGAATGAATGAATGGGAGGTCGAATGAGTGAGGACTTGGCATCACGTCGTTGAGAGCGTGAAGATTGATCTGCGCGGCATTGAGACGGTTGGACTGTGGACCGAAGCTAAGGTGAACGTTTGGTTTAGCCCGCGTTAGAAGCCCTTTGACGCCTTTCTAGAAGGCGAATCGCCCAGTTCCGGAGACGCGACTGGCGGAATAGGAGCACGCGCACAAGTAGCCGGTACTTTGCACAAGTCGAGAGGTAAAGCGACAGCCAGAGTATACAGTACTTGGCTGCTGCATCAACACCCAACTGCAGTTGCTCTCGAGCGACAACCACAGATTGAAGACGGAAGCACGTGTCAAGTACTAAACCTCCAGGCTGCTCACTACCTAGGTACCTGATGCCTACGCCGGCCTTAAGTCCATCTTGTCATTGCCCCTCGGGAGGGTGACACCATTCAGGCCGAGCTGTTTGATGCGCGGCCTCGTGTACCGCCGTCAGCCAATCGTGAAGCTTCCAGTTCTCGTACTCAATCTACGATGCATCTTGGTCTGTTTGTGTCTGTCCTCGCATGTACCACGCGGGAACGCTGTCGTGATACGGTGTACAGGGACGGAACGGAGTAAACAACCAGAATGCAGCAGCTCAGCCTTTTTTAAGCCCGTTTCTAACGCAGCTCCCCACACTGCCTACAAGTGCTAGCGTCTCCTCTTTTCATGCTCAAGCTGGTGCTTCCATGCGAGGCGGAACGCAATCCTGAGTTCGGCCAAGAGCCTTGTCGTGGTGTATAATCGGCACATCACTCTCGCGGACCAACAGGATGGTTGCGGAATAAGCATGAGGAATTACTAAAGTGGGAGTTAGTACACGGGTATGCCCTGGAGATGGCAAACCATAGGTAGTTGGTAAATGATCTGGATGTCATGCCATGTCTGGGTGTTCTCTGCTAGACTTGGAGTGATCCCTTTTCAGAGTAGGCACCCTGTTGGCTGGAAAGAAGTGCTGCCCGTACAGGTATCCTTTGCACCTAACAGATTGATCATCTGGAGTGGCAACTCGATATGGATGCCAGCATGTCATGATCCGTCAAAAGTACTCCTAGAAAAAGGGGCAATGGAGGATCCAACAGACGTGCCGATGAGTGAGACCACTGCTGCGAAAGTACATGTACTCGCGTTTACTCCATTGACAGCACTCCGGATCTGGCCCCGTAACGTTCGGCGAACCCAATCCAATGCTTCCCGCGCTGGTGCTTGCGGTTGCAGTTGCAGTCGCAGGGCATGCGAGTCAATGTTTATGCAGTTGAACAACCCCGGGATGCTGTGGACTGGAGTGATCCGTGCAGCATCCGTACGAGCACCTGGGGGGGGCAGAACAAGGTTGATACACGTACTCGTACGTACCTCCTTCGTAACCGCCTCTGTTACGGGGAATCCATCTGTGCAGAGAGCTGCTGCTAGAATCTCAGGACCTGAACCGTCATCAGTGTGATCAATCATCATCATTATATATCAACTCAGCCTCGACGTCTCAACATCCAGTCCATTGCTATGGAGGTCTCTCGTCGTCAAACCGTGCAGCGACCTAAAGATAGAACACTGGACGCCAGTGGCCAAGACGCCGTGCGCTGTCCCCTATCAGGGTCCGGGTCCCCCTCTGAAAAGTGCAGCGCAGGCCCGCCTAGCCGCTGTGGCTGCCCGCTGCTCGCACTGTCCTCGCCAACCACCCGCTAGTGTTTCAGGGGCTCTAAGCAGCCAGCTTCTGCCCCCCCGGTCCAATCAAGCCGATCCAATCCCGCCGAGAGCCTCACGTCCAGAAAAGCACATCCAACAATCCGGCCTTGTTCCTCTCTCTCTCGCGACCTCCCGCCTCTCCTCAACGCCGCCCAGTCCCAGTCCCGTCCTCCCAGCATCGAGACCGCAGGACGCTGCTCAGCAACTCTAGGCGCCTGGCCGGGCCTGATCAGGATGATCTCACCTGCTTCGCTTCACCACTCGTCGCAGCCCCGATCTGCTTAACCGCAAAATTCCCCAGATTTCTGGCGCGCGACGGCTTTGGAGAGGGGGCCTCTGAAACATTTTCGACTCCCAAGTACCGCGGCCCTCGCCAGAGCTCTCCGACGGCTGAGCCCGTCGTCTTGGTGCCCAGTTTCGGATACAGACTTGATACTTGTGTGGACGCGAACAAGAAGAAGAGAAAGGCAACAGAGGGCTGAAGGGCTGCTGCGACTCGCTCTCGGCCACTCGCCATGGAGCGCCCCGACCGAATGCCTGCCGGCATGGGCGCAGGTCCTGGAGCTGCTCCTGGGCCCCCCGCGGCCCAGCCTGCTCTCAGGGGCATCGGCGTCGGCATGGCCACGCCCGACAATAACAATCCAGCGCAGACTCGTCGTCCTCTCCTCACCACTGCTCCTTCGAACGGCCAGATGCCGCCCATGATGCCGCTGCCGCCGCTGCCCAATAGCCGGAATGGCCCGCCTCCCAACGCGACCTCGCCGGCCACGCCCATCCTGACGCCCGCCCAGGTCATCAGTCTCACCCGCGAGGCCATGCGACATGCCCTCGAGAACGAGAGCCAAGCTGTCGACGTCGGCCCTGGCCTTAAGTCGGGCGTCACCATCGATCTGAGCCGCAAAGGCATACAGAAGCTTCCCGAGGAGGTGGTGGATATAGTCAAGAACGAGTTGGAACGGTGAGCGCCCACTGGCTATGGATTCTTCTCTTTGTTTCTCTCTCTCTTTTTTTTTTCTTTCAGGAGGAAAGCGAACAAGGAAAAAGATGGGAGAGAAGAAGCGGAACCATCAATCGAGTGTCCTTTTTTGCTGACTGCTAGGTGTTACGATGCAGGCTCGCTCTATCACACAACCAGCTTTCGTCTCTGCCAGCTCGCTTTGCAGAGTGTGTTTCGCTTCGATACCTCAACATCAGAGGCAACCAGATCAAAGAGTTTCCTTTGCCTGTGCGAATCCCACATATCCCTCTACATTGTCTCGCCACTGGATGAACCAATCTAACATAGGAATCAGCTATGTGAGCTTAAATCTCTCGAGATCCTCGATCTCGGCCGTAACCAGCTGCGAGTTTTACCGCCCGACATTGCGAGGCTTTCGTCCCTCAAAGTCCTCTCTATTCCAAAGAACCAGATCCGGGAACTGCCCGTTTGCCTGGCCGAGATGACCTCACTCCAAGTCCTCAAGTTTGAAGGGAACCCTATCAGCTTTCCCCCACGGGATGCGCTGCAGATTCAATCTCCCAGTCCCTCTGGCGAGGGTTCTGGAAGAGAGGGCGAGGTGACAGAGGTGGCCATTACGGCGCACATCAAGAAGTTCATGAAGCTGCATCTCATCAATGGGCGTGACGCGGAGGCGACTGGCGACGAATCGAGCGAGGGTACCGATACACCGCGGATGCCTCTACGACGCATGCCAAGCGGTCGATTTCCCATCAAAGTGAGCAGCTCTGATGCATCGGACATGCGTGTCCCTAGCGGCGGACCACGTGGTCCGCCTCCCATCCCGTCACGATCGCATTATCGAGGTCTATCGCAGCAGAACACGGCCACCCGTCGCCCTGGGGTTCTGCCTCTGACAATTGGGAACATTGCCGAGCGCGGACGTAGTAATTCGGAAACGCTGATGCACTCGGAGAGATCAAATAGCCGTCAGCGCCGCATGGGCATACTCGCCAAGAAGGCAACGTCGGACCTGGGCACGCTCGACGAGGTTGAGGGCAGCAACAGATGGAGCCACTATCGAGGGCTCAGCCACGGTTCTGCCATGCAGGGGAACCAAGCCGCGCCATCCAGGAGCCCAGCCACGCCTACCGACTCTCTCCAGCGTCCAGTCTACGTGCGACGGCTTTCCGTCCTCCCCGAGCGCCGCAGGGAGTCGAAAGTTGTTGATCCTGTGATTGAAGCTGCCAAGGGCATCCTTTATTCAGTCTTCCAGATCCACCCCATGATCCAGATGCTCATGACTCTGACCAACGACGGGTCCGCAAAGCGCTCGAGCCTCGAAATCGTCTTCTACAACACCAACTCTCACGTCGAGGAGCTGGAGCAGGAGATCCAGAAGCACGACATGGCGATGGCGGAGGACGAGGAGGGACCATTTGGAGACAATGCGAATGTGCACCGCGCCTGTCAGACTCTGGTCGGGGCATATGGCCACGTTTGCACCCTCCTGGCCGATAACATTGATACTTTTGTCAACAACGGTGATGCTCGTTATATCCGAACACTCCTGATGTTGATCTACAACAGTATAATGGAGCTCCGAGTCACTCTCTCGTCCGTGTTTTCGGATAACACCAAGCAGACCAACGTCCCCGCCCTGGACGCTCCCGACAACAGCAACACCATTAAGCCCTACTTTCGCGAGGCGGCTGCCGCCGTACCCGCGCCTCAGAAGCCTGCACCCCCCCGAAATCGCAGCGGCCCCGTCATGCATAACCCAAGCAATCTCAGGGTGGCCACCGACATACCGGTTCCGTATAACAACGGTGGTAGTCGCACTGCAAAGCTTGTATCGGCAACGCCCAGATCCAACGACTCGTTTGCGTCGTCATATGGGCGTGAAGGCGCCGGCCCTGACTTTTCCGAGGAGGATGCCCAGTTCGACAAGATATACCTTGCCCTGCAAAGATCGACAGACATTGTCCTCCATATCTTGCCCAACTTCCACACTCAATTGACTGGGGGGATTCGAAATGCGATGCAGCAGCGAGCGCCGAGCGCCATGATACGTGACTGGAAAAATCTCATTGCCATGTGCGTCGACGCCATCCAGCAGACGGAGATTTTGAAGAATCGGCTGTCCCTCATCAAGCTGAAGGACCCCGGAGTGCGGTCTCACGCGGGGTTCTGGAGCCTCTGCAGCAACTTCATCTCGGCATGGACAAAGATGGCCTCCAAGATTAAATCGGAGATCAACACCATTCCCCTGCCGCCTGACACTAGAGCTCGATTGCGGCCTGTCCATCAGAGCATGAAGGAGACGAGCATTATCATAATGAACTCGCCCTGGAACTATATCTTGAGACCAGCTGGTAGTGGTGGTAGTGGTGGTGGTGGTGGAGGAGGCAGTAACCGCGGCAGCGGTGGTGGACAGGGATCCTTTGGACCCTGGTGCTCTCTCTCCCACGACACCGCAGGTCCCCATCACGCCGCAGAGCGCGGCCTTGGGGCCGGCCATGCAGGCCACCGTTGCCACACCACAGACTGGATCGTTTGCGGCCGTTTTCCACGGCAATGTCTTTGAACGCGCGGAGACTCTCATGACCAACCCGGGCATCTCCATGTCTCGCACGGGCACCATGGCGAAGGGCCACTCTGGCTTCAACTCGCTGTCTTCGGTTTCGTCCATGTCATCAGACGGCGTGCCAACGCCATCCTCGGCTTTCAGTCCCAGTGTGCAAGTGGCATCCGCGCCATTTCGGGTCAACGGAGGGAAAGTAGCTATCTGAAGCTTTTTTCTCTAATGAGCCCACTCGAAAAGCAAGACTTTGATGCTGATTTTCCTTGTTTTCTTTCCTTTTTCTCCCATTCGTTTGGATCTCGCCATGTTGCTTTAGCCGGCGAAAGGGACGACAGGGAGTCTTGCATAGCACGCACCCGTATGGATTTTCATGAATGATTGTCGTTTTGAACAAAGACGTTGGCTTGAGGCTTTGGGACCCTTTTTTTCTTTTTGCGATTTTTTTTCTGCATAGCCCTGGAGTTTTGGTTTTGTTATGACAAGCACTTGGTGTGATGGCCATTGAATGAAGCCATGCAGGCTCTCTTCGATGCCGGAACTGCCTCTGAAAGGACATTTCTGCACTCTAGGGCAACGATACCACGACGAACGCAAAGTTACACGTAGAGGATAGAGGGATGGGAAGCACAAAGTGTTGGTGTATATTAAGTTGTATTTGTCATGTTGGAGCTTTTTCTTATATGCTTGTTTGATCTTTCGATGGACAGGGAGCATGGTTTCTAGGAAGGTCAAAATCGAAGATGGTTTCTCTGTGGATTTGAGCATCTTCCGCTGGCAATTCTCTGTCACTTACTCCGTACCTTGTGATACATCGTGATCCATCCTTGGTCGTTATTCAGTGCTACTGGTATATAGAAGCACCTGCTGCAGTAGGTATGTCTTGATGCAGGCGGTAACACCACCAATCACGACGATTTCCTTCTGCATATGATCCTTGCCCAACTGCCTGGCTTTGCCAAACGCACCCCACAATCCGTCGAGCAAGTATCTCATATAAGATGCGTGTGAGAGGGAATACCTTCGCCATCCATGCTTTTACCGATGGACGAACTTGGCTCCTCTCAACACCACGGCACTCTTCCTTGGCAAACTGCGCAAAGAGAATCCAATACCACAACGCTCAACCAAACCTCTAAAGCTAATAATTTCTCATTCATTCTAATCTCTCCGCTTCAACATGTCAACGTCATCATCCACCGGCCCTCGCAAGGCCCCAACAACAACGACCTCACCCTCCAGCACCAGCAGCACCAGCAACATGCCCAGCCCATCCTCCTCCTCCCCTTCGTCCTCGTCCTCCTCCCCATCCTCCCCCCGGCGCCTCACCCACTCCCAACAACAACAGCCCTCCACCTCACCCCCCTCCATCGCAACCTCCCCCGCCGCGGCAACCGCCTCCCCGCCAACCACCACCACCACCACCCTCCAGCCAACCCTCCCCAGCCCGCAAACCTCGCGCCACGTCTCCGACGCGCGCGCCGCCGTCGTCGCCTCCATCGGCAACATGCTCGACTCGGAGCTCCAGTCCCGCGCGGCCCTGCTGCACGCCAACGCCGCCGCCCTTGAGAAGCAGGAGCGGGACGTGGTCCGCGCGACGGACGGCCTGAGGCGGGAGACGCAGAAGCTCAAGGCCGAGGCGGACAAGGCCGCGCGCAAGGTGAAGGAGCTGGGCAACGTGCAGAACTGGGCCGAGGTGCTGGAGCGCGGGTTCTTGGTGCTGGAGGAGACGGTGCGGTTGGCGAATGGGGGCGGCGGCGAGACGGATGAGGAGGAGGAGGAGGATGGGGGGAGCGAGTGCAGTTGTAGCTGTAGTGAGTGCGGGAGGGAGAGTGATGGGGAGGAGGAAGAAGAGGGACGCGTTGGTGAGGTTGATGGTGATGGTGATGGTGATGGCAAAGGCAAGGGGGTTGGGAATGGGACGGGGGTCAAGAGTTTTGAGAATGATGCTGTGAGGAGGCTGAGGACGATGGATCTGAACAGCATGTCGGATGCCAGCCGGAGCTTGATGAGCATACTGGAGGCGAGCTCCAGCACAGGGCGGGCAAAGGGCTCTGGGGCGACGGTATCGACGGGGTGAAGGATGGTCATGCAGATGGCACGGCAGCATCAAAGACACGGAATCAAAGAGATATAACTTTGCGATACAAGGCACATGAATGTGTGGGAAGTACTAAGGTGGCAATATATTATAGGTATTGATCTGTTTGCATATGGCAGTATCATCGTATGACTCCTTTGCGTCCATATGGCTGGTTTCCATCTAGTTCTAAGCTCTACTCGAAGAATACCGGCAGTCATTGTCACTGATGCTCCTCTACTCCGTTGCCCACAGGCTCGCAAGTGTACAGACCGTCTTCTCTCCCTTACGCCAGCCCCGGAAGCATGACATAGCGCTTCTTCTTGTACTTGTCGCCAAACTCCTTGCGGTACGCCCTCTCCTTGCCCTTGGCCCAGAGAAACATCTGCACGCCGCCAATGATGATGAAGAGCGCGACGGACCAGTCGCGGCTAGCCAGGACGATGCCCGCCCACGCCAGCACCTCGTACATGTAGTTGGGGCAGGTGACGAGCGAGAAGCCGTAGCCCTGCGGGATCTTGCGCTCGGTGCCGCCGGCCGACCGCAGGCTGGACAGGTACAGGTGCACGAGCGCGTTGCTGATCTCGCCGAACAGGTAGAGCGCGGTTCCGACGGCGTCCACCAGCGGCTGGTCGGCGCGCGCGGCCAGCGACCAGGGGCTGTAGTAGATGGACCAGGCGCAGAGGGCGCCCGAGAGGGCCCAGTAGTGGAAGCTGTTCTTGAAGATGTTGCGCGCCGGCATCGTGTTGGCCGAGAACTTGTGCACAAAGAGCGTCTCCAGCTCGCGCTTGAAGAAGTGCGCCACGATCATGCCGAAGCTGAGCCACTGCGACGGCGACATGGACGGGTCCTTGAGCAGGTACGGGCGGGCGGCGACGGCGGCGATGTGGATGAGGATCGGGCCGAGGTACTCGACGACGAAGACGGTTCTCCAGGCAATTTGGAGGCCTTGACGACGAAAATTCATTCTTGGTCAGTATACTTTGAAGCAAGTGCTGCGGGACGTCATCGAGCAATCATACCGAGATCCTTGACCAGCACCTCGCCCGCATCGGCGACCTCTTTATCCTCTGCAATCAGAGCCTTGCGGTCCTTGAGCGTCTTCCGGGTCGACGGGTAAAAGAGGCCAATTCGATTGTAGTCGCTGAAGCCAGCTTCCTTAGCAATCAATTTCTTGACATCCTCGACGGTGGCGTTGGCGGGGACGTCGATGGACGGTGGGAGCTTCTTGATGGGCTGCTTGGGAGCTGTTGGGGATGTCGAGTTAGCAAGTACCTTATAGATGAAATGGAGGCAAAGCAGTCATTGCATAGCAGAGAGCAACATACAGCGATTGGTCAGCTTGAGCGTCGTTGGGGGAGACATTTTGAATCCGGGAGACGCAATGGCGATGCACACGATGTTGGAGAGGAGGTTTGCTGGGGGAGGAAAAAGCCAGCTACAGCGAAAGGTACTGCTGAATCCAGGTAAGACAAGGTTTCCTCGGCACTTTAGGCGCGGTGGGGGTGTGGAGTGCTTCCCAGGTACAAGTACTACGCGATACGGCGGGTGCGATAGCGGGGTACAGCGGCAGTTACCCGGGCAGCACGGCAAGTTCACAGCGCAGCAGAGGTAGCATTGAATCGACAGCAAGGGGACGCTGTACTGCTTGCGATGTACTAAGTATGTATGTATGGGGGAGTTGATGAGGATGGGCTGGGAGATGGCCCGTGGATTTTGAGGTCATCCCGAGCAGATATACTTTGTTACATGTACATACTAGCAGGAGGATGACAAGAGACAATGAGGACTCCGTTTTTCAAGTGCTGAGACGGAGATGGGACCAGGTATGATGAATGGCTGAGGACCAGAGTCGCGGCATTCAAGAAGTCAGGTCCTCAATCAAAGATACTTTACAGTAAGAGAGGAGAAGTTACAGTCCTTTCAAGTTTGATGGTGGCTTCCTACCTACAAAACATGATCATGACACAACAGACCTCTGCCAGCCATCAGCCGTCTGGTACTCCGTTAGCAGGGTTGCAGACAGTAAAACAATCAAGAAGAATACCAGTCATCATCCTCTTATGTTCAAGCATCCGCATTGATCCCGAATGGCCTTGGCCTTGTTGTGCAAGTCACAGCACGGCACTCTCATCGGATAGACGTTGAGTCGAGGGAATACCCGAGCACAACTGGAACATGACCCTCAAGAGAGGAACAGAATCAGGCATAAAGAACTCTTAGCTTTTCAAGTCATCAACTAGCCAGTAGTAAAATGCTCTTGGTCCAAAGCGTGCGTTCTGTCTGTGGATGAATATAGTGACAACTGCCGACCTCGAACTGAACACCAGCAGCTGGGCAGTATTAAACCCGTCACCACCAAAGATCCGAATACTCTCCATCGAGGGAGATAATCAGTCTGCTAGCCACATATGCCTCTTTGACGAGACTCAAATCCCCTGAGCCTACGCAGCAATAAAAAAGACTCGTCTTTCCTTCCTCGCGGTCATGAACCCGCTTCTATACCCCCCAGATCCATCTGACCACCACCATATGCTCACATCGTGTGTTTGCCTTTTTCCTCTAAGGTGCAAGTAGCAACCACCTGCGAGAGTCATAACATACTTGTTGCACGACCAGTGTCCCCCCTCCCAAGTGCCGGTACAGCTATTGCGACAGTGGTTTGGGCGGTTCTGAGTTGCTGGGCTTATTTGGCCGTCAACTGGAGAGGATCTAACGGTGCCTTGCCAGGTCTGCCAGCTGCCAGCTGCAACAACAAAGTCCGCTGCCGTAAATTGTCGCTTACGCGTCCAACTGAGTGAAAGATCATCCATCTGGATAGAACGCTGTTCACAGTCAATCAAAACATCTGCAACTCCCCTCAATCATCGCAGTTCCTCAGACTCTTCCCCTATCACCCCTCTCAACATCGTCAAGTCCCTCACGTCCGATCCTCCCCCCTAACCGCTCGGTCACATCAACCCCAACATGCCAACAACAGGTGACGCGAATGGAGCAATGAACCCGTTCGCGGCGCCCTTTTTCCCACTTGCTTCTTCCCAACCGAGCTTTGCTATGCCGCGTGCCCAACATTCCCGTCCGGGTTCACACGCTGAGAGACGTAAAGGAGAAAATCTTCCATCATCTCAGGACAAGGTAACGTCGAGCAACACAGGAGAGAGCTTGTGACTCCTCTTTGGCCCATGGCTTCGCCTCATTCACCACGCAACTCAGGTCTGAGGTTCCACAGGACCACGCGGCTACTAATCGTGTGTGTGATCAGATACCCCGTCCCACCGCTCCGACCTCTGGCCGATCTGCTCTTCAGAACCCTTCAGGTCAACCTACCGTTGAATCTCCGGAGAGCAGTGATCATGTGCCAGAGAGTAATCAAGGCGAAGGCGGATCCGCCACTGATGGAACCACCATCGAGAGTTCGGGCCCAAGCATCGGTCCCGAACAGCACTTTTTGAGTTCCCCTGAGACCAAGGTTCCTCAGACTCATGGCATGTCTGGCGGTCACGTTCCGTCAGACACAAACAACGAGGGCGCCCAAAACAATGTTCGCCCCCACAAGCTATGCAAACTGGGCATCAGTAACTGACTGAGTCGCAGGTTCCACAACCTGTTCCCATGCCGGGCATGCGAGCACCACCTTCGATGCCAATGGGGCCCTATCCGGGTTATATGCACCCAGGATTCCCTCCGCATCCATATGGTCCGGCTATCCCTCCGCCACCATATGGTCCTCTTGTTGCACCTCCGCCACCATATGGTCGTCCTGTTCTTCCTCAGCCGCCATATGGTCGTCCTGTTATCCCTCCACCACCCTTTGGACCTGCTGTCCTTCAGCCGCGCCCTGGAGCGCTGCCTCTACCTCTATTGCCGCCACCGCCGCCGCCACTAGAGCCTTGCTATCCATTGCTTCGTCTTACTCCTTGTCAGTTTGTATCTGTCTCGACAGGTCAGCTAGTACCAGACCGCTACTCTTTTGCTTATAGAGTGACATATTGGCCGCTGAGACTTTATTCTGCTCCAGGCACTGGCGCGCAAGGACATGGCCAGAACCCAAACTTCCGTCCAGAGGAGATAAATTCCTGTGGCAGTGGTCCTCTCGTTTTTGGATCCCACCGCCTCATGCCCTTGGCGCAGGTAGTCAATCTATCAGATCGTGTTGGCGAAGAACAAACCCATTCCCCGGTGAGTATTGTCTGACAGGGAAATCGCCGTCCCATGATTCACCCCCACACCTCGATATGAAAGGCTAACTCAAGTGCAGAGCAGAGACGAGACGAGAGAACTCGGGCATGATCAATATCTGCCAGAGACATCCAGCGGTCACGGCTCCAAGGCTGGAACCGAGCCACCAGCTGCTTGCCAGTCCGACAGCCATAAAACTAAGTTGCCGTCAGCTGTCGACGGCCTGCACACCGGAGAGGAAAATATCCAAGGCAAATCACAGCCGCAACAGGACTGCCACGTGCCGTCCAAGTCTCAAGTGGCCACCAACAATCAGATAGCCTCCAACCCTCAACAAGACCACAACACGGCGCAACAGCCAGCCCAGCCAAGTGAGTCTCATCGACCCAGCTGCCGCGTTATCACGAACTGGTGGGATGTTGACGACGATGAGATAAAGCGACATCAGGCGCTTCCTCTTCCACAATGCACCCTCCCCGTGCGGTCACGAACACGCCTGCCAGATACTCAAGAAAAGTCCAAGTCTCCGATCGCCCCAGCCACAGCCAAGCCTCAGTCGAGCCGGCATCGTGGTCCCAGTCCAAGAGATGGATAAGCTCCGAAACTAAGGAGCGAAAGGCGTTTCAGAAGATGATGATGAACCTTCAGTTTATGAAGGCCGATCAGTCACCCTTCGTTCCCAAGACGCCTGCGGAATTGGCAAAGTTCAAGATTTCGCTTGCAGAAGCCAAACGACAGAAGCTTGCCCAAGAGGTCAGCATTTTGGAAGAGAAAAATCGACAGAAGGAGCTCGTCAAGGCGTCAGGTACGATTTCGGTATCCCAGCCGCGGATGGCTCTATTTAACGGGCGAGACATGGGGGACGAGCTCTCCCCAGTCTTTGCTGTTCAGAATTGCTTCAACAAACAAGATACGGTCGAAGTGAACAAACGTGCGGAATGGCCATCGATGGCCGAGCTAAAAGAAGACGGCGACAGGCGTGCTAAATGTGGTCGAATCCTCCCTCTTCCTCGAATCAAAGTCATTGCTCTTCAACAAGTCCGCGAGAGAGAGCAAGAACACGCGCCCAACGGAGACGGATCCATCTTGTAGGAGAAGAAGGCCGTGGAATCTGGATCATGGAACATTCCGCCCATCACACCAATGCATGACGGTTCTGGTGCTTTGTCGCAACTCGAGCTCGCTGATCTGAGCGGATTCATGAGGGAGTTTGTGCTGGATATCCAGGAACTTGAGTCGTAAGTTACCAACAAGGGCGATACCAAAGACGCACTCTCACCGGGAGCGTCTGAGAAGGAGGAGGCAGTGTCATCTTGTTTTTTTTTTCTTTTTTCGATACGGCTCTTGGACTATCGAGGGTACGGAGGAACGAAGCGAGACAAGACTCAGGCGAGATACGAACGAAAGAGTATAAAGAGGGCCCATCGTCCTTCAGGATGGAGAATAACGGAGTACAGGGATAACATGTCAGAGTAAAGAATTCGATCAGGTCATAACTTTAGCTGAATGGTATTGAAAGTATCGCAAATTCTCTGAAAATAAGAGAGGAAAGAAGGGAAATGGCCTTCAACTGCGATGAACTGCTGGTCCTACATCTCACAACCCAAACGAGGCAGTTGCCGCGACGTTCCGCGTCTCGAATGAGCCCATCGCGACTGCCCGGCATTCAAGCCTAAAGGACGGATTTAGCGAGACGCGAGATCACGTGAAGCCCACCGCACATCAATTTGACAATTCACCCTTCATTTTCCGCGCGGAACAACCCACCACCCGAGGAAGCCCTGAGACGAGGTACGTACCGCGGGCTAGCGCAACCCACAACCACAATTTTCGACCCAATTCAGTCCTCCACTCTTTCAAGCGTTCGCCAAAAGTTTCATTCCTCTCAACCATCCGACAAGTCGATTGCCCTGGTGAGCACCATCTTCATCAGGTGAGTTCGTCCTGCGGCCGCGATATTCTCAGCAGCATTCCAAAAGAAAACCCAATTCGTCTCGACACCTCGTCTACCCGACTTTTTGGACAAAGCGAAGAGGGGTTGTTCTCGTGGTGCTGCTGGGCAACATTCGTCAACCGTCAACTCCTCCCCTTCCAAAACTCCTGTGATATTTCAAGAGTTTTGCTGACCACTTCTCTCCTCCGAAACAGAACTCGCAATCATGGGTATCTCTCGTGACTCTCGCCACAAGCGCTCCGCCTCCGGTGCCAAGCGCGCCTACTACCGTGCGTACCATACATGAAGATTCCGAAAGCCCGTATGAGATCTTAGGACCATACGTTCTGGGAAGAAGCGCGCTTTCGAGGCTGGCCGCCAGGGTGCCAACACCAAGATCGGCGCCAAGCGAATTCACACCGTCCGCACCCGCGGCGGTAACCACAAGTACCGCGCCCTGCGCCTCGACTCCGGCAACTTCGCCTGGGCCTCCGAGGGCTGCACCCGCAAGACCCGTGTCATCGCCGTGGCCTACCACCCCTCCAACAACGAGCTGGTCCGCACAAACACCCTGACCCGCAGCGCCATCGTCCAGATCGACGCCGCCCCCTTCCGACAGTGGTACGAGTCCCACTACGGCCAGCCCATCGGCCGCAGACGCCAGAAGGCCCAGGCCGCCAAGGAGGGCAAGGAGGTCGAGGAGGTCAAGAAGAGCAAGTCCGTCGAGAAGAAGCAGGCTGCCCGCTTCGCCGCCACCGGCAAGGTCGAGTCCGCCGTCGAGAAGCAGTTCGAGGCCGGTCGCCTGTACGCCGTTGTCACCAGCCGACCCGGCCAGTCCGGCCGCTGCGACGGCTACATCCTCGAGGGTGAGGAGCTGGCTTTCTACCAGAAGAAGCTGCACAAATAAACTCGCAATGGCGTGAGTTCTGGGAGTGGGTGTTCAAGGATTTTTCGTTGTCTTGGGCATTTTCAAAGGGCATCAAGAGCTATCTACACATGAAGCATCGGATCGGGTCCATAGGGAATGAAAAGCTTTTATGCATATCATGTTACTTTTTCTTTTCACGTTGTTTCATCCAAAGATGATAATGAAACAAGAAACAAAATAATTCAAAACACCCTCTTCCCGTCATCCGACACTCGTACTTTTCGTATTTCTGCCTACTCGTACATCGACTCTCGTAAACCATACAGATACTAGGTAGGTAATATCAGGATGCCAGTACCAGCAAGCCTTTTGAGAAGAAACAGCCGTGTCAAGCCCTCTTCCGTAACTGCAATTGCACAAGTCAGACCTCGCAATGTCGTTCACAATCGTCGTCGTCAGACATTTTTTATTGATGTTTCCCTCCCCATCTCTCTGCATAGTCTGTCCTAAAATGAAATTCATGTCATAATCCTGCTAAAGCGTGAATGCTTTCTTTCCCGGATTCCTTCCTTTTCATCACCAGTCAGTTAGGCTTTGACTGGGCATATGTACTGCTACCTCATCGAAACACTAATGGGAAAAGACAAAAAGAACAACTCCAGAACAGGCAAAAGAGCACAACTTTTTTGGTTGACAGCGCAAAATGGGGTGAGATGAGAAAACGAGAGTTGGGGGAATATTGTGGCTATGATAACGTGTTGCATCCTCTCTGCCCCGCCCCGTGATGTGGTCATGATGCGGGAGAAAGAGCAGGGATGAAGTAGGGAGTGTATGAATGCAGTGGTTGGCAGCAATGCTCGATTTTCGCCTTCAGAGAGTGGTTCAACGACTTAGACAAACTGGCGCTTCAAGTCCGACCACTTCCGGGTCAGGGCCTCGTGTTGACCAGCAATCTGTCCATCACGGTTAGTTTCCTTCCTTTTTGACCGCACTGAAAGATCGCTGGCAATGGACAACTTACCTCTGCGTATCGCAGCTTTGTCTGGACGAGCTCCTCCTCCAGTTCAGCCAACTCCCTTTCAACCTTTTCGTTCTCCAGGTGCACCTTCTCGTTGCGCTTCATCAAGTCGTCACGCTCAAGCTTCCAGGTTTCCTCCATCTCGTAAGGCTGCCTTTCAATCACCTTTTTGAGTTCTTGCACCTGATTCCTGAGGGCTTCCACCTCATCCTTTAACTCGTCATTTTCAACCTTTGTGTGAACGAGCTCCGTGGCAAGATCAGCCTGTTCGCGGTCGCAGACCTCGACTCTTTCTTCCAGTTTCCGGACTTGGATGGTAAGAGCCTGATTTGACGTTCGAAGTTCCTTGATTTCTGTTTCCCGCTCCTTCTCGGCCTTAGTCTTCTCCTCCCACTCTGCAGTGTATCCTTCGAGGAGCTCCGCGGACAGCTTGACTTCGCAGGCATCCCTCACCAGCTGGTCTGCCCTGTAAATCTCCTTGTCGATGCTTGAACTGGAGCTGCCGAAGAAGCCATTCTCCAAGAGACTGCCCTGGCTGGGATCCTTGTCAATGTAGACATCGAACAGCTTATCTTTCAGATAAGTAGTAAGCTGCTGCATGTCGGAAATCTCCAGCAAAGTGGCGGTGTTCTTCTGCATCAGGACAATGCCAAATCGGATAATGGCCGAGAGGCCCTCTGACAAGATCAAGTCATAGATTCTCAGAACAAGCTGCAGGGGAAAGCGGTAAGCGAACAGGGTGAGGAACCATGGTGTCGCGTAGAGATGAGGGGAGATGCCCCGCCGGTGAAGATGGCAATACAGGGCGGGCTCAAGATCCTCCAGGAGCCGCTCGAACTGGTAAAGGTGGCGGTGAAGTCCAGGCATGTCGTGGATAAAGAGATCCCGCAAGCCGTAATGATTCATCAAGCGGACAAGCAGGCAGAATGCTTCCTGCTCGGGCATGTTGAACAGCAGGGGCATAATCAGGAAGTTCATTCCCTGAGCATAGCCAACACCTTCGTCGAAGAGGGCATACGCCTTGCAGACGCCAAAGAGGCCCTCCTGAAGCCCCGCGGCGGCTGCATACTTAGAATAACTTGTGCGGGCACCAAGATCACGGCGGATCACCTTCTCCAGCCTTTGAATGTTCGCGAGGTCCTCCTTTTCCTTGCGCATCCGCTCTGCCGCAGCCGCTGCCGCTGCCGCTGCCTTAGCACTGGCCTCGGCATTCTTCTCATCCTTCTTATCGCCCTTCAGACCCGAACCACCTGACTGTTCGGAGTTGACGGACGACGCAGACGAGGCCACGCCGTCGCCACTCTGAACACTGAGGTTGGCGTTGCTGAAGCTGCTAGCTGCTGTGCTGCTGCTGTGCCGATTCCTGTTTTCCTTCTCCGTTCCTCTAGCAACGAGGTCTCTGTAAACTCCCTCCAAGTCTTCGTTCTTGCTCTGCGCCAAGACCTGCCAGATAACGCCACGAATGGCGCTGGGGATACCGGTGGCGATAGCCTTGTTCAACTCCTCGGCACTTGACCGCGCAACAGCGGCCGGGCCTTCGTAAACAACAGACTGCCAAAGATCCCAGTCGACCTGTGACGGCGTCGTCTCCGACGGGCCAATGTTGATGCCGGCCGCTGTTCCTGGTGCCAGATCTGTGCTTGGAGGCGGCAGAGGGGATTTAGGCGGCAAGTCAGCTGCCGGAGCTTCCCCATCGACGGCTTCGGCCGGAATGTCCTCCGTGTTCACAGTAAGCGGAGCGCCAGTCTCCTGCTGCGCCCGAAGCACCTTGAATCGATCCTTGAGGCTATTCCGGTTGGTTGCTTTGCCATCACCTTCTCTTTCTTCCTCGAGCTTGCTCAACATCATCTCGGGGTTGCTGCCCACAGTAGCAACAGAGCTAGCAGTGTTCCTCCGGGCAGACGGCTGAGTAGTCGGAGTCGCACTGACGTCTTTGTCTTTACTAGAGTTCCTAGACAGCCAGGAGAAAGGACTGGTGAGTCTCCTGCCCATTGGTGCAGGGGGGGCAGCCGGAGCAGCAGCTGGGGCAGCAGCAGGCGGTGTCGCTGCCGCAGGGGGCTTGGCCTCGGTCGTCGCCGGCGACGAAGGTACTGCAGCGGCAGTGTTAACCAGAGAGGTTGTTCTGCTCAGCTGGTCCTTTTCAGACGGGCTGGTGGGCTCTGTCAAGACAATTAGCGAATTGTACGCAAGGTGAGTTGCGAAGACGGTGAGAGAGAGGTGTACCCTGGGATTGTGGGGCAGCATCATCGTCCAAGTTGACCACATCAAGATTCGATGTGTTGGAGATGTTGGAGATGCGATGAGACAGCGGCGTTGAGCCGCGTGAGGGGGGTTCTGGCTTCTCTTCGCTCTTGACCGATTTCGCATCTTCGGCTTCCTCCTCGCCGTCGCTCTCAGCATCGGACTTGGTGGCATCCTGCTCTGGCGGGGGAGGTTGCGGTCTCGTGGCGGATACCGATCTCTTGGTCAGAGATCGTACAGAGGCGGCGTCGACGGCGTCCTCAAATGTATCCTGCTCGGTGGTCTAACTTATTAGCCCTTGCATTGCTGCTGTTCCGCCACCCCATCCCAGGCATTATGGCGGGACGCCGCTAGACATACCGTATCAACGTCGGAGTCGGTCAGGGACGGGCGTCTCTCCTTGAGCGACGCCTCGGTCGAGTGCTGGGAAGCTGCATCGTCTGTGGGCGACATGGCTCCCTTGAGTGTTTCTCTGCTTGGCCGAGAGGGCGTTTGTAGGGACGTGTCAACAGGCGCCGTTCAGCAACGAGCCATCAAGAAGCCCTATACAATTGCGTGGTGGTTGCCCGTTGAAGTGGGAAGAATATCGTGACGGTGTGGGAACCAATGCAGTATAGAATGACAATTGTAGCAATGAGTAGAAAAGACTCCTCGGCTCAGGAACGGCCGGACAGAAAAAGACGGATGCTGGAACTGTTGACAAAGTGCTGCTTGCTGGCGGTTCCCAGTTCGAGTTGGTATGTACAGGTTCAGAGTCTGAGAGAGCTTGGAGATTTTGTCTCAGGGAGCATGCAGAGCAGAGCAGAGCAGAGCATGGGATCAATCGGATGGAGTGTCTCCAAGCCGCCAAATGGCACGTTTCCCCTGGCTGGCCGCTAAGCTCAGTGGTCTCGACAGTGGGCGGTGGGGGGGTGCGTAGGTGGCGGAAGGGCCTCTGGGCGGGTCTTTAGAGCCTAACCAGCGAACGTCTCCCGCTGTCTAAACTGGCATACAGCCTAACGAGCCAAACCAGCACTTGAGGCCGGGCCATCCATTCTCCTTAGGGGCTGTCCTGCTCTTAGCTCACCATCTCCCTCCAGTCCTCATCAATGCTCACCACCCGGCCATATTGCTGCCCCGACACGACTAACAGCAACAGCGTCACGTCTTCTGGCGGTGTCCCGGGTCGCGTGCTGCTCTGGCCGAGATCTCCAAGCGCAGCTGTTCGGCACCGCTGGACTGATGGGTGGGTGGGTTTTGGTGGGTGGCCTAGCAACCCCTTTTTCCGGCTCCTCTTTTTGCATGCCTTTTGCTATCGGGGCATAACGGCGGTCTTGGGAGGGAGACGCACCATTCACTCGGCCAATTCACTCCATCACAGCTTCGTCTCCATGCCCTTTGTCCGCGAGCAATGTTTACATGCGGAGAAGAGCATAACGTGCGGGCATGGGGACACCGAAGGAAACATGAAGCATGTTTCTTGATCCCACTACCCCGCGACATGTGAGCGATAGGACGACTCCAGGGTTCTTGAAACATGTCCCTCTCACGGACGGAGTGCAGCTGTCTTCCCCCTCCAGCGAGCATGTATTGCTACCTGGATGGATCCGTTGCGGACTGGTCTTGCATCTGGCATTTCAACCCTAATCTGGGACAATGCCTAAATTCTCTCACGATGGTGCGCTTGACACTAACCCAACCTTTGTCACCGTCTGTTTCAAAGCTCCGCGGTGGCTGTCCGCAGTCCCGTGTCGTCTTGCCTCCTGTCAGGGGAGCACCGATCTCACAGACTTGGTGCATGGCAGCACATGCGCAAAGCAGAAACATGTTTTCTTTGTCCGAATACCTACCTATGTATGCATGCATGTCTTAGGTGGAAGTTGATGTGGAAGTTGATATTCCCCAGTAAAGCCGGCAGCTTCTCCAGGGTAAGGGGCTATGTACGGCTGTGCTCTTCTACATGTCGCAATTTTGCAACCATAGACTTTGGGAACATTGAGAAGTCACGAAAGTAACCGCATGGGAAGTTTTCCATGCGCGAGCTTCGAGCTTGAAACAGCTACTTATTGCTTCACGATTGCAGTCATATGCCCAGTGGTTGACATCTTGAGGGAGTGATTTTCCACTCGGCAGGTGCCCAGCCATCATGTGCACCAGATGCAAGCGCATCATGAGATCATCACCAAGGCTACCTGAACGAAAGACTGCAACGCCCTTTGGCCCTGACTATCATTGAGTGCCCCGGATTTAATGCGACTGGCTGCTTGTAGTTGCAGTAAGCAGGGAGCCAGCTGTGGTTGGAGTTGTCCCATTCAACAGATGTTCCGCATATACAAAGATCTTGACATCAAATGTTATTTATCGACGAATTTCACACAACCGGGGCCACGTAGTGCCGTCTTGGCGAGTATCTGCCTTTCCTCTCTCTTCTCCCTTTCTCGATCTTTTTGGTTCCTCTCCTCATCCTCCCTTGGTGACTCGTATAAGCTACAGTGATAAGCCCTGTGGTCCTGCTTCCAACACCATCTCACCAACCCCAGGTACGGCTTACACGTATGTCATCCATACGTAAACTGCGTTGCGGACAGCAACTATCGTGACCACGAGCATAAACATCAGATGGAAGAGCCAGACAAGGCCTGAATTATTCTATAGGTAAGTAGATATTATTCATGAGGGCGGTGCACTGCCTTCATGTTCCAGCCGTGTTCCCCAGAACCGACACAGGTCCTATTCTGTAGCCGCGCGTACTGAGAGGCGGACAAGCAGCCGATCTCGGCTGATGAGCAATAACCGACCAAGCTTGTCATAAATCTCTTGAGAAACTCTTGTTCATAATACGCACATGGCTTCTGAGGCCATATTGTACCTTCTCAACCGCTCCGGGAGTCCTGCTTTTGTCTGATACGAAGTTCTAGATGTTTAAAGCGTGCACTTTATAACCACCGGATGTTCCCAGTCTCTCCTGCAATAAAACGATCTGGCATCTTGGGAACAGCACGCGGCTGACACTTCGGCCGTCTTATCAGAGAAGGATTTGACTCACTCTGCATCTGTAGACACGCCACATGCAGTTGTTCTCATTCGGCAGATGCCAACTGTTCTGCAAGCAGGAAGCGCATAAAAGTCCATCAAAGTTGTCCCGGGCTGGATCGGCAACACGGTGCAGAAGAACTACTACTTAGCAATCGAGATGATGCTAACTTGACAAGGCTAGGCCCACCTCAGCCTTTTCCTCTTAGCCTGCGCCTGTGCTTCTGCCGCCTTTCGTCGTGAATCGACGACGCCCGGGAGCTACAGGCACAACTTCCAGCGCCAACAGGGGGCCCTGCCACGGCTACATGTACGGTGCCTGTGTTAAGTGCTCGCTGGATTACGGCATCCCAGAGCGCTCTGCCTGCCCAGCCCGCCCCTCACCGACTGCCTAATGGGCCTACTGCCGCAGTCACTCATTCACCACGGCCGGCCTTGCATCAAGTGCGGGACAGTGGGAGGAGCTGCACCACCACGCCTATTACGCAAAGGCCCACTTGCTTTCCACTTGCTCAACCTGACGTTTGTCAACAGCAACTCTTTTTTTTCTCTCTCCCAACATCCGCCTTCTCTCCACCTCTCCCCCTCGTTCCTTCACGACCGAGATATCCTGCAGATCGCATCCGACGCCCTGATCTGTATCCCTGCGTTTTGCTGGTTTCTGCGATTCCCCTCCCCGCTGCCCGCCTGGCCCTTGGAACCGCTGTTCGAGGACGACTGCACTCGTCCCACGACTCGATTTCAGCTCACGCAGCAGCACCTTCCATCCTCTCTCGCCACGCCCTCTCCAGCGATCGACCCTCGTCTACTCGACTCTGAACTCGGCGTTCCGACTTGCCGAAGCTTGCAGATCAGCCTCGTTTGCGACGAGACACCAACAGTAGCGAGCCCTGGTCGTGCAAAGAACCCTGCTGCGAAGCATACATTGACATCTCGGCCACCTGATTTCCCCCCCGCGGTTCGACTCTAGCTCAGCCACCACTGTGCCCACGACAGTCAACCGTGTACACGGACTCTGCTGTGAAAACTGCTGGGAGATACAACGACTGCACAAGTCGCGCTGTCGCGCCAGCGGATAGCCAGATTGAAGTGGAGGGGGAGTTGATCTTCGTTTCTGCGGCTCTGCCGCTCTTCTTTCATCATGGGGAAGATTACAAAGACGATGCAGCCTAAGCATCGAGAGACTTTGGTAAGTCACATTGTGCTGTGATGGAGACTTAAAACAAGCCATGGGCCCCCTTCCATCCCCCTTGCGTCTTGTTGTAGATCAATGAGGCTGACCTTTTTTTTTTTTTTTTTGGCTTGATAGTCCTCCTGGCTCAAGCAATATGTCGAATCTGCATCAACAGCCCCGCTGCCCCTCCTCCCACAGCAGCTTGCTGATTTTCCAACGAGATGGCCCTTCGGACGCGGCGACCTTTATCACTGGATCCCGTTGTTGAACCGATTTGATAGCGTGTTGGAGCAGTTTTGCAAAGTCTACAAATTGAATGAAGGCCCCCAACAGCGTGATTTTGGATGCGATGTGTTGCTCAACCATGGAAAGGACTCGGCCTTCGAGGGCGAGAAGCAGTGGCAGATGGACGAACTCACGCAGCTGGGCTTTCCCTCCGACGGTGACAGAGTCCTGATCGAAGCTGTTCTCAAGTTTACTCGCATGCTGTTGGAGCATTGTGGAAACCGCAGCATCTACGCCAGCAGTTCTCACCTGAACGATCTCCTCAATTGCATACCTCCGTCCATCCTCATCGCCACGCTCGAGGTGGGGTCAGAGCTGGCACAGCGATATCAGGCGTCCGTCAAGCGGATAGGGAGCGCCTCCCGACACATCAGTGCTGCGCTGCTCGCCAACCATTATAACATAGACCTGGACCGCGTCCAGCAGATTGCCTTGCCGTTTGTCAAGACGCCCATCTTCAACGTTGCGGATTCCGCCCCGACTAGCACGCACACTTCCGCGTCCAAGGGAAAGGAAAAGGCAGGATCGGGGGTCGGCAGCAGGAATGTGGCCACTATGCACGCCAACGATCTGGTCGCCATTGCCGCGTCTGATGATAGCCGATGGAGCACTTGGGGCGATGTCAAGGTCTCTTACTATCCGCAAGAAACCGTCTCATCCCAACACGACGCTCCAGCAGAGGCGGGGCGCTCGAATTTACCCTCGACTCCCACTCCGCTACGTCGAAGCTCGACGATGAACCCTCAGCATACACCGAGAGCTCGAAACGTTGCCAGTGACGACTCGGCCCCCCTTGTGCAGCGAACCTCGACCTCTGTGGATGAACATTCCTCGTCTGGCCAAAAGACGTTTGAGTTGCCTCAATCTGTCGTTGCCTCTCGCCCCATCTACGAGCTCGTCAAGCGATGCCCTGATGATATGCCTCCGGCGGCCAAGTATGAGGCATTCCACCGTTTGAGAGTAGCCAAGGCCCTCATCAGCTCCCAGGAATCGCGGCAACAGATTTTGGCAACTCGTCTTCTGGCGGTGACGAACTTGGCATACATTCATTCCGAGTCCAACTTCGTCGAGAAAGTCCTCCGCCAGGACATTGACGAAACCCGTCGGTTTCAGCTTGTCTATCAGCTGGCCGAGCTGATCCATCCATCGGCCGATGGCACGATAGAGATCCCCCTGAGACTGCAGACCATTGCCCTTGCGCTTCTCGAAGCGGTATCGAGCTTTCATGCGAGATGTCAAGACGTCTTGTCCGCCCTGAATGCGAATGTCAACCACGGGATACTTCTCTATGTGATCAGAAAGGCGGTGGCTGGCATGACCGAAACCCACGCCGGAGACGATGGCGATAAGGCGAACGAGATTGATGAGTGGCGGAACAATCTGTTCTCTCTTACGCTACACTTGTCGATGGCTACTCGCGTCGGCAGTGAAATGGTCTCTGCTGGTTTGATGGATATCCTGGTCGAGATTCTCAACATCCGGTCCGTTATTGCACAGCGCCACCACTCAATGGTTCTCGCCTTTCTAGATGGCTTGGTCTGGACCTATCCAAATGCGTTCACTGCCTTCTTCAATGCGAATGGACTGGATGCTGTGGCCAAGCTGATCGTGGACACGATTGGTGAAGCGCGCAGCTTGCTTCAGGCCGGCAAGGGCATCAAACCGGATCAGCAATCGAGTGCTGTTGACTATGAGATTCCTTATTACCAGCAGCAAACTCTCAAATGGATCCTCAAATTTGTCCATCACATCATGTCCAATTCGTATAGCTATAGCGGCAATACGGACCGGCTGCTGCGAAATCTTGCTGAGAAGTCTGACTTGCTGGCCAATCTAAGGGACATCATCAACGACAAGAAGAGCTTTGGTTCCGTCGTCTGGACAAACTCGGTTACCATCCTGAGCGATTTCATTAACAATGACCCGACTAGCTTTGCTGCCATTTCCGAGTCGGGTATGATCAGGACGTACCTCGAGGCTATCACTGGAAGACCTATTCCTGATGATCACACCACCCGTCCAAGATACCGGGAATCGGAAGGCGATGAGCCTGGGACTGTGGACGTTTCTGCGATTACATCGATCACCGACCTCGACAGCCGACCTCACCCTCCCACGGAGGACTCCATCAGACAGTCGCTTGGCCGGCCAGTGGCAACGGGCATCCTGGCGTCTTCCGATGCTATCAATGTCGTCCCTCAAGTTCTCAACTCCATCTCTCTCAACAATGCAGGCATGCAACTGGTCGTTGCTTCTCGAGCGTTCGAAAGCTTCCTGGAAGTCTTTGAAAGCCCCGCGCACGTGAAATGCATGGAGGTAGATACGGAGCTTGCCAGTAACGTTGGTGCCAGCTTTGACGAACTTGCGCGGCATCACCCGCCTCTCAGAAAGTCAATATCCAACGCGGTCATTGACATGGTCGCGCGAGTACGCATGCTGGGCATCGAGAAGGCCCGAGTGGCAGGCTGGGGAGTCAAGTTGCTCCCCATTGGCAGCCTTCAAGCTGCGGCTGAATCAACTGCAGTAGCCGGGGCATCTAAGCCGCCGCAAGAAGCCGACATGGACATGTCTGATGCTGCCGCGCCCCAAGCTTTGGAAGCAGACAAGCGGACCGATACCGAACGCGAGTCGCCCTATGAATCGTTTACGCCATACATTTATGCTCTGTCGAACTTCTTGACCACCTACTTGTCTAACGGTGTGCTGAAGAACAACTTCGTCGAAAGGGGTGGCATTGAGCTGCTTCTCGATATGTGCCAGTCCCCAAGCCTGACTGCTGGGTATGGCGATTCGATGGCATCTCGAGTCCTGAATCAAGTCGTTTCCCAGTTGATTGAGCATGGTGCTGCTCAAGGCTTAACTTCATTGCTCAACCGGGCTCAGCGTGCCATTGACGTGTTGGAGCCACTGTCAACGAAGACCGAGGCCGTCCCTCCCTATTTTGCCCCCTTTCTGACTGACCTGGGCGTTGAATACAGCAGTTCCGAAGCAGCTGAAATACTCGCGACGGGAACTAATATCGTCAAAGCCTTACTCAACGCGCAGACGTACATGAAGATCATCTCCGATTGTTTCGCGTCATCCAGAGGCAACACGGTGCAGTTTTACCCTGTCAATGTCTATGACTACTATATCAAGCTGGTGAAGTCCATTGGGCCTCTGCTACGTGGAGTCTTGGCGGAAGAAGCAGGCGAGCTTACCGCTATACCCCAGCACTGGTCCCTACGACGTCACTCGCCACCGACGGTGGGCGGCAGCAGAGGCATGGGTGCAGATGCGGAAGCCGATGATGGCTCCCTAACAGATGTTCTCGGCGGCACGGATAGCTGGAGGCCCAACGAGGGTGCCGATACGTCCTTGACATCTCGATTGACTGAACAGGAACAAGCTAGTCCTCGGTTCCAAAACTACGAAACCCTTCGAGTCTTGCTGCACCCGATGATTCCTACTTCCTTCCCCCTTTTCCAGACCATAGGCAAGGCTTTGCTACCTAGAAGGGAGTCCAATCACGGTGACCCATACCACCGGCCACGCCATCTACAGATTGCGAGAGCGCTTGCCGATACAGTTCTCGACCATCTTAGGCCATCCGTGGCGACACCGGAGCCAACGTCAAAGGACTTCCACTACTGGATCATCATGCTGCACACTATCCACGAAATGGTGATTGAACATCGTGAGTCTCCATTCCTTGTCTAAATCTCGGTCCTAGTTCCTAGCATGCTAACATCTCATCAGCGGCTTCATCTCGTCCCACTGACCGCGCAAATGTGCAAATCATCATGCCGGTTCTTCTTGCATTCAAAGAGCGTAATGGCATCGTCGTGCTCAACGACATGCTGCGAGTTTTCGCTGATGCAGTCAAGAGTTCTAGCGCCGCTACTGCCGACGATTCTTCAAAGGTCAAAGTCGCTGCTTTTGGCCTGAAGAAGATACTGGACCTGTACTTCATCCTGGTCAACGGGAAGCATATCGGCGACACGCACACTTACTACAACCTTCAGCGACAAACGGACCGCTCCCAGTTCGTTCAGAATATCCACAGCCAAATCACTGTCGAGTTTCGGGCCCTCATACTGCCCGTTATAATGGAACTTTGGGACTCCGAGTTCGTTGAGCGAGTACCAGATCAGACAGTGAAACGACTCGTGGACATTCTTAAAATAGTCGCATTGGGTGAAAGCGAACTGCAGTCAATGCCAAAGGACAAGGTGTGTATTTTCTCCCCACGCCCTTCCTGTTATCTAAGAGGGCTTGAACCGACTGCTAATTGCTATTCTAGATTCCTTTCGTGCTTCTGAAGTATACGGAAGTGCGATTCAACTGGCGGGCTGTCAGGTCCCTTGTTCGTCAACTTGCTGACGATTTCGATGAGAGTCTGGCGCAGGAGGCTGCCTATCGTACATTTGGCAACCCCAATACTGCGTCAGCATATTGCAGCGCCCACGAGGCTGAGATAGCAGGCGCTCGAAACCCTGTCCCTCCTGAGGACGCACCTGATGCCTCTTCTCTAGCTGAAGGGCCGACACCAACATCGACAAGCCGTGACGCCAGTGGTTCTCGTGCTCCTGACCCGGAGGCCATGTCTCTGGACACCACTCCTGATGTCTCCGCCGAAAACCTGGATGACTTGATCTCCCAACTTCCCGAGAGCAACGATTTGGCGAACGAAAGTGGCGGGGATACGGGGTCAAAGGCTGCCGAACCGACTCCGGCTAGCGGAGAAGCAAACTCTACTGCGGAATATACAGCGGATAGCTTCAATGCTCTCAAGCAAGGCCTTGACGACCATCGATCAAAGCTACGAGAAAACTTAATCGATCAGTGCCTTGACGTAATTCGTGCCCACCCAGACACCGCTATTGAGGTTTCCGAGCTCATCACCACCGTCGTTCTCCGACATCAAAATGCTGATGCACACGAAGAAGTTGGATCGACGCTCACATCAGCCTTGACATCCCTTGCTTTGGATGAAGACGAGAGAAAGCGCAATGGGAAGTGTATCGCTGCATATGCTCATCTTCTGGCTCTTCTGCTTCAGGACGAGATGTTCTTCAGTCGAAACATGGACACCTTGCGTGACAAGATTGGCGAATATTTGGCGCTTCTCAAGGTCGCCCCGTCTACACCCAGCGAAGAGCTGCCGCCTTGGATCCCTTACGTCCTATTAGTGTTGGAGACCCTGTTGAGCCATGATGAAAAGCCAGTTGCGGTTCAGTGGAGGGCACCCAAATCCTTGGATGAGCCCGTTGCAGAGCCCGTGATCCAGCTAAGAACGCCTTTACTGGATGACGAGCAGCGGTCTGATGTTCTGGAGTCGCTTTTGGATCTACTTCCACGCATCGGAAAGGAAGAGATGCTGGCTACCGCTATTCTACGAGTCCTCATCATCCTGACCCGCAAGCGTTCGTTGGCGAAGCAAGTTGGCGAGAAGAAGAACCTGCAGAGGCTTTTCCTCATGGCTAAACAAATGTCAGGCTCAGGTGCTGAGCGACTCAGGCAGATCAGGCTGACGGCCCACCTCATCACCATCCTTCGTCACATTGTCGAGGATGAAGACGTTATCAAGCAAGTCATGAGAGCGGAGATCAAGTCAGATCTTCCGAATCTCCAACGTACCCAGCGCGGCCATTTGGATGTGCCCACCTATCTCCGAGCAATGGCGCCCATTGCTCTTCGTGCACCCGACCTCTTCGTTGAGGTAACTAATGAGCTGCTTCGCTTTTCACGCTGGAATGCTCCCACTGCCGAAGGCGCTAGGCCCCAAACCCTGGTCTGGAAAGAACAAGACAGCAGCAGCACGAATGCTGCTCAGCCAGACTCGGAAAACGTCCAGAGCGAAGAAGTCAAGCCATCAACTGAATCGGGAGACAAGGAGATGTCCGATGCGCTTAAGCCGCACCATGACAGCAAGCGCCCAGTGGTGGAAAATCCAGACGGAGTCATACACTTCCTTCTCTGCGAGCTGATCAACTACCGAGAGGTCGAAGACAAAGAGGTACCACCGCCTAGCAGGGATGCGAAAACTGAGGGCGAATCGACAGCTTCTGCCGAGGTCCAGGACAGTGCTTCTGCTGAAGGCGTAGCTGGCGATGGAAGGGACAAGAAGCCATCAAAGCCTATCTTCAAATCAGAAGAGCATCCGATCTTCGTCTATCGATGCTTTTTGCTCAGCTGCTTGGCCGAGCTCCTCCAGAGCTATACAAGGACGAAGATGGAATTCATCAACTTCAAACGAAGCGCCCCGCCTTTGTCTACCAACACCCCTGTCAAACCTAGGTCGAGTATTCTCAACTACTTGATATACGACCTCTTGTGCCAGAGTAGCCTGAGCGGTACGTCGGACAACATAGCAGCAAAAAAGAAGGCCGCGACGTCAGCGCAGACGCAGAAAGTTTTGGTCGCTTTGGTCTCAAAAACCAACGAGAAAGTGTTTGATCGCAAGCAAGAAAAGTACGCCTATGACGATGAGCCAGACTTGCTCTTTGTCCGCAAATTTGTTCTCGACACTATCTTGAAAGCATACGAGAAGGCACCACTTACCGATGAGCCATTGGAGGTTCGATATGCAAGGATGCAGTGCCTGGCGGAGTTGATGAACAACATGATCGGTGAAAAGGACAAGGAGCAGACCTCCGGGTCTCGCAATGTCGACAGTGTCCAAACTAGATCACAAGCGCAGCTTCGACGACTCATGTACGAGAAGGGCTACCTAGACAAGTTGACGTCGTCCATTGCCGAGATCAACCTCAATTTCCCGGGAGTGAAACGGGCGATTAAGTATATCCTGCGTGTGCTGCGAGTCTTGACCGATACCGCCAAAGAACTGAGCCATTCGAACATCTTGGTATCCGATTCACAGGTTGACCAGAGTGATGAGGAATTTGCGTCTACTTCATCTTTGTCGGACCTAGATGAAGGCCGGGAGGAAACCCCTGACCTCTATCGAAACTCTGCTCTTGGCATGCTTGAGCCTCGTGGAGAAGATGACGAGTCTGAGTCCGAGGAAGCAGATGACGATGACGAGGACATGTATGGAGACGAATATGACGACGATGAGATGGACTACGGCGATGAAGAGATATCGGATGATGAGGACGACATCAGCGACGAAGACGAGGAGCTTAGTCAGATGGGAGAAATTGAAGGCCTCCACGGCGACCCTGGAGTGGTCGAAGTCATCATGGACGACGAAGATGATGACGACGATGACGAAGACGACGAAGACGACGACGAAGTCGACTCTGCCGATATGGAGGACCTCGAAGACCGGGTTGAAATCGTCGATGAAGACGGAAACCCTCTCGAAGATGACGGGGAATCAGGGTGGGAGAGCGAGACCAGCGCCGAAGAGGATGAAGAGCCAGAGGTCGATGACATCGACTACGAGGGTGAGGTCCAAGACGAGGACGAGGCTCACTTACACGGAATGGGCCCTGGTGACCTCCTGGATAACATGGCAAGAGCCATCATGGGCGGCGATGAAGATGGATATGAGCCCGAATTGATGGAAGCATTGGATGAGCATTACATGGACGATGGTCACGATGATGGGGGTGAGTATAGTGATCCTGTTCCTCTCTTGCCTCTTTGCCTTGCCCTCCTTTCTTCTGTGGCTAGGGTGTACTGACTCTTTTAAACAGATGAGGATGATGAAGAGGATATGGAAGACGAGGAGTACATCTATGACGATGACTATCCACGTAAGTGGCCCCTTATCAAGGATTTCTCAACGATGTCATCTAATGTGCTTTCTTTCTCAAACAGTAAACGACCCGTTACCGCCCATGCCAGCTCTTGGTTGGGATGGGTTCACGCCCGAAGTCGATGAAAGACATCGTCAAGTCTTCCTCCTCGATAACAACAGACGACCAGTCCTCGCGCGAATGGACAACCGCAACCCCTTCCCTCCGCGATTTATTCCTGGGTCAAATCGGGATCTGAGTGGTAAGTTGGGAGAATCCGGGCATGCCTTCTCAGTGGTTCACACGCTAACAAACTTTCTCCTCAAAGATTTCCGCAGCTACTTCTCCCGTAGCCATCGCAATAATGGCCAACAGCCAAACGCAGATGACGGGATGAACCCATTACTTCGTCGCAGCGATCAAGCCCAAGAGAACCAGCCTCGGCCTGGCCATCCGCACTCGATTGGCCTCCGCTTCCCAGAAGGCTTCTTGGGCCCAGGCAGACATCTGATGGAGGGCCCCATGGGCTTTCTGGGAGAGCTTATGGAGTTTTTGCCCATAATGGGTCGCGGAAACCAGCATGCTTTCCACGTCCATATCAATGGCCCTGGGGGCACGCGAAGCACAGACCTTGGACCTATCCGTGGTCTGAGAAGTGAACAGCGCCGAGATGCTGCATCTCAGGAGCCGCACCAAGCAGTTGCTTTCACCCCTGAGACAACTATGGACCGCTACCAGGAGGAAGCCAGGATGATTTTCGGAAACCCCGTTGCGGAAGCTGCCAGACTCGGGAATACTATCATTGCGCAGCTCACCCCTGCTGCAATAGAGCTCGAGAGGAAACTGAAGGCGGAGGAAGAGGAGAATCAGAAGCGCCTTGAAGAAGCTCGAAAGAAGCAAGAAGAAGAAGAGCGCGTGGCTCGAGAAGCTAAAGAAGCCGAAGAAAAGGCCGAGAGAGAGAGGAAAGAGGCCGAGGAACGCGAAGCTGCTGCACGACTTGCAGCGGAAGCTGCCGAAGCCGCCGCCCTCGCTGCCAGTCAAAACACCGAACCACCCCCCGGCGATGGGCAAGGTAGTGGAGCCATGGAAGGAGTTGAATCGACCGAGGCTGGTGTCGCCGCGACCAATGATGACCCAGCCAGCACTTCGAGAGCCAACGTGCCAAGAGTGACAACCATCATTCGAGGCGAGGAGGTGGACGTCACCGAGCTAGGTATAGATCCAGACTACCTAGCCGCTCTTCCTGAAGAATTCCGCGAGGAAGTCATCGCCCAGACAGTGAGTGAGAGGCGCCTCCAAGCCCGCGACGAAGCTGCCTCAGGAGAAGCGACAGAAGTGTTTCAGGAATTCCTTGATGCCTTACCAGAGGAGCTACGAATGGAAATCGCACAACAGGAACGGCAAGACCAGCGCCGTCGTCACCGTGAAGACAGTCGCCGCCAGGCCACCGCCGCTGATGGCCAGGACGTCATCCCCGCGGAGATGGATCCCGCTAGCATTCTACTCACATTTCCACCCGAGCTCCGTGAACAAGCTCTCATCGACCAGGGTGAAGACATCATGGGCCAGCTTCCCCCCGATATGGCTGCTCAGGTGCGAGCATTGACTCAACACCGACCACCAGTTGCTCATCAACGAGGAGGCATGCGGCCGATTGTTCTTCCTGGTAGAAGCTCGCTTGGCCCGGCTAGGGTCACAGTGCAAGGCTCTCCGGATGAGCAAGGCGAGAACAAGACACAACGGAAGACGGTTGTGCAGATGCTCGATAAAGCTGGCGTTGCTACCCTGCTGCGTCTGATGTTCATCGCTCAACAGGGCTCTATCCGGAACTACCTCTTCAGCGTATTCGCAGATGTGTGTGAGAACCGGCAGACTCGTCTCGAGGTGATCAGCACTGTCTTGCAGATACTTCAAGATGGTAGCACAGACATGAATGCGGTTGAGCGCAGCTTTGGCCAGCTCTCTCTCAAGGCTAGAAAGCAGAAGGACAAGGAAAAGGACGGTGATCAGAAGAATCCCCAAGGCCTTAAGAGGACTTTGACAACAGTGGGCAGCCTCACAACTTCAGGCCAGACGAATTCCGAGACATCGCCGCTTCTGATCGTACAACAATGCCTGGACCTTCTAGTCGACTTGTGCACCAAGAACCCCCACATTCCTTGGCTATTTTTGACAGAGCATGAATCCGTGGGATCTTCTTCCCTCAAGAGGAGCCTGAGCCGTAGAGGAAAGGGCAAGGACGCAAAGGCGCACAAATACGCGATCAACTCTCTCCTCACCCTCTTGGATCGCGAGCTTGTGACGGAAAGCTCGCTCGTCATGACCCACCTGGCAGACCTACTGAACCGGGTTACTCTCCCTCTTCAGAACTTGGAACGTCGACGCAAGGAGACACAGGATGAAGACGCATCAGATTCAAAGGGCACAGGCGCGGAGACACAAGCTCCTGCCACAGATGCACATGAGACAGAGGGGCGAGATAACACCGACCAGACGGTCGACGGCTCCTCGGCATCTGCGCCGGCGACTTCTTCCGAACAGAAGGCTGCCGGAACAGAGGACCCAGGGGAGCAATCGAAGAGTGCACCGCAGAAACGCGCCCGCCAGCTGCAGCCTCCGGTGATCCCGCCCCAGAACCTTACCCTTGTGGTCAGAGTATTTGTGGCTAGGGAATGTAGCTCGAAGACATTTCAAAATACCATCTCTACCATCAAAAATCTGTCAGCTATTCCCGGGGCAAAGAAAATTTTCGGACAGGAGTTGGTCAGCCAAGCTCGCCTCTTGAGCAGCAATATCGTAAACGACCTCGACGATTTGCTCCCGCACATTGAGGCGGCCACCTCCGGTACTGAAATCCAAGGTGTTGCCCTCGCCAAGTTCTCGCCTGGAGCGTCGGAGCAGAACAAGCTGCTCCGAGTTCTCACTGCGCTTGACCACCTGTTTGATGGAAAGAAGAAGAGTGACGACGCGGATGATGGTTCCAGCGAGAAGAACGAGAAGCAAGATCTTGTTACCTCGCTCTATCACAATTCGACGTTTGCTACCATGTGGGAGAAGTTGAGTGCCTGCCTGAGCGCTATTCGCCAACGGGAAAACATGCTCAATGTCGCGACTATCCTACTTCCGTTGATTGAGTCCCTCATGGTTGTCTGCAAAAACACGACGACGAATGACGACCTCTCGTCGAGCCTGGTCGGGAAGGACATGCTATCCAGTCCGCAGCCGGAATCTCGCACGGCCAACCTCTTCTTCACCTTTACCGAAGATCACCGACGCATCCTGAACGAACTCGTGCGGCACAACCCCAAACTCATGTCTGGCACCTTTGCCTTGCTCGTTAAGAATCCCAAGGTTTTGGAGTTTGACAACAAGCGCAACTATTTCAACAGGAGCGTTCACTCTCGGAGTGGCCAGAATCAGAGCCGCCCGTCATATCCGCCGCTGCAGATTAGCGTTCGCCGAGAGCATGTCTTCCACGATTCCTTCAAGTGGCTTTGCTTCAAGTCAGCCGAGGAAATGAAGTACGGAAAACTCAACATTCGGTTCAACGGCGAAGAGGGAGTTGATGCTGGTGGCGTAACTCGCGAGTGGTTCCAGGTTCTCGCCCGACAGATGTTTGACCCCAACTATGCTCTGTTTATCCCAGTTTCGTCGGATCGCACAACTTTCCATCCAAACAAGCTCAGTGGCGTCAATGATGAACATTTGAGGTTCTTCAAGTTCATCGGTCGTATCATCGGCAAGGCGCTGTACGAGGGGCGCCTACTTGATTGTTTCTTCAGCCGCGCTGTCTACAAGCGTATCCTCGGCAAGTCAGTCTCTGTCAAGGATATGGAATCATTTGACCCGGACTACTACAAGTCTCTTTGCTGGATGCTGGAAAACGACATCACCGATATCATCACAGAGACCTTTTCGGTGGAAGACGACGAGTTCGGTGTTACCAAGATCGTGGACCTCATCCCCAATGGCCGAGAGATTGCGGTAACTGAGGAAAACAAGCACGAGTACGTTCGTGTTGTGGTTGAGTACAAACTCCTATCCTCGGTCAAGGACCAAATGGACAACTTTTTGAGTGGTAAGTTGTCTTTTCATGCCAGCTTTCGTTATCTAGAGGATAAGTTATTAATTTCCTCGTTAGGTTTCCACGACATCATTCCCGCGGAGTTAATCTCCATCTTCAACGAGCAGGAGCTGGAGCTCCTGATCTCTGGTCTTCCGGACATAGACATTGACGATTGGAAAGCGAATACCGAGTACCAGAACTACAGTCCTTCCTCTCCACAGATTCAATGGTTCTGGAGAGCAGTCCGGTCATTTGACAAAGAGGAGTTGGCCAAATTGCTGCAATTTGTCACCGGTACCAGCAAGGTCCCTCTCAACGGCTTCAAGGAACTAGAAGGCATGAACGGTGTCAACCGCTTCAACATCCACCGTGACTACGGAAACAAGGATCGCCTTCCGTCTACGCATACCTGCTTCAACCGTATGTTCTTGCTTCCCTTGTCCCCAACAAATATGGTATACTGACGTTTTTCTGCAGAGCTCGATCTTCCCGAGTATGACAGTTACGATATACTGCGCTCGCAAATCCTCAAAGCCATCACGCAGGGTAGCGATTACTTCGGCTTTGCCTAATGGTAATTTGAAGTCGTGTGATTTAGCAAGGATGCAGCTCATGGAATGCATTTCAACTCCAATGGTCGAGAAGTATTCATCTTCTACTTGGCCTTGTATGATTGTGATGAATGGTTCTTTCAGGGTTCCAAGATGCAGATATGGAAGAGCCAAGGGGCAAGAACAGAAATGGGGAAAAGAAAAAAAAAATCAAGAAAAAAAAAAGGAAATACCACATAGGGGAAGGATGAAGGCTCCCTACTCGGGGATCTTGCCTTGCCAAAGAGAAGTGCAGATCTCTCTGGTATTGGCAAGATATCCCGACACGGGATAATGACACGGAAATCAAGGTTGTTTGTTTGGTACCTCACTGGGGTGGTCAAAAATATGTATTATGTATTGCTTGCAAGTAGATTAGGAATTCGCTCGACTTAGAATAGGGCAAATACAGTGGGATTCCCCGCAGATTATAAACCAGCGAGTCTTGAGCTTCTGAGTTCTGCCGTATCTCGTCACTGTGATCGTACCTAGTAATACATGAACGAAGAAACTTCATGAGAGGACTCCGTGCTATGGCATATTGACGCTATCCTTCCTTACATGGTAGATATAAGGAAGCCAGGGAAAGGGCGCCTCGTCTACTGAGTGTAATTTGCCCATATTCCATCTTTTACATTCAACAGTATAGGGTTCGCACGTCAGAGCAATCAATCATCAAACATCAAGAAGTTGGAGAAGCGAGGGGAATATATCATGAATGGCGTCATGAATGCATTTTGAAATCGAAATGCTTCTAATACATTCGTGGCAGGTTGAGCCCCTTATTTAAAAGCCCGAGAGATCCTTCACTCCGATTGCATGCAAATCACAGGACCAAAGGTATGATGGAATTTCCCCTCCCCCCCCCCTTTTTTACTTTCATTATATAAAGAAAACGCCGAACCCTTATTTGTGCATGGAGCTTGCTCGTCGCTTGCGGGCATCGGCCTTGTGGGCCTTGGCCTCGGCGACACGCTTGGCCAGGATCTGGGCGTACTCGTTCTATTTGGATTGCATTAGCATCATGAAAGGCAAATATTGCGTCGTTTCGGGGTTACTCACGGCCTCGTCCTTGACCTTCTCGGCCTGGCGGCGCTTGAGAGCGAGACGGTGGCGCTTGTGCTGCAGACGCTGGGGGGTGACCAGTCTCTGGATCTTGGGAGCCTTGGTGTAAGGCTTCTTGCCCTCGCCCTTGGGCTGGACCTCTCGTCGGATGACGTACTTGCGGACCTATTGCATTTGCCCACGGTGATTAGTTTCCCATTGATCTCTCATACTTGTTTGTTTTAAAAGCTCGGCACCGGACAAACTCTCTGCTCGCCTTTTGACACAAGGCGTGTTCCAAAGAGGCAAGTAGAGGAGTTTGCCCAGGTCTTTCTTCTCACACTCTACCCAGACTGCCATTCCCTCCACCGCAGCTCCGGGTAGGCGATGACCGAGTATGGGTACAGGGTGAAACATACATCGTCATCCTTGGTGAGGTTGAAGAACCTGCGGATCTTGGTGGCTCGCTTGGGGCCGAGGCGCTTGGGCTGGACGACGTCGGTCAGGCCGGGGATCTCGGCCTCGCCCTGCTTGACGATGCTGAGGGCCAGGACGGACAGGTCCATGGCGACGATGCAGCCGCGGACCGACTTTCGCTTGCGCTCGCCGGCGCGTCGGGGGCGGTAGCACGAGTGGCCCTCGGAGAGGAGCAGGCGGACACGGCTGGGGTGCATGACACCCTGCTTCATGGGGAAACCCTGCTTGTCGTTTCCACCGGTGATGCGGAAGATGTAGCCCTTGAACTCGTCGCCGAGGGAGTCGCCGGGGACCTCAGCGCCCATCTGTTTATCACACGTCCGTTAATCTTCGGTTCTCTCCTCATTTTGCAAGACTGGTGGGTGATCGGAAAATTGGAGACGGAAAAGTTTCAATGTATCGAGCGCGTGTTTCTCGTCGATAGCTCGAAAACAATCTATCCTATTCGTTTTTTTCCGTCGAAAGGTAGGGAGAGGATGATTTGGAACGTACCCGCTTCTCCATGAAGACGGCGAGCTTGCGCTCATCCTCAATGTCGATGAGCTTCTGGCTGCCATTGGCAGGGTAGGAGATGTTCAACTGCGAAGAGGAAAAAAGGCCATGTTAGCAAGAAGACAACCACCGATGAAACTTATATCGAAACGAATGCAGATGGAATGATCCGTCCAGCGTGATTGTAGCAATCACTTGCGATGCCATCGTGGAGTAATTCTGCTGCATTCTTTCTCGGGGAATCTGTATGCGTACCTTCATCTTGCCAGTGTTGTGGTGGTGCAAGTTTGGCTTGACCTGGCACGCGTGAAGTCGGCTTTGAGTGTTGAAGGAATTGGGATAGGGCAAAGGGGAGCGGGAAATGGGCGGGCAAAAAAAATCGAGGAAAAAGTTGTGTGCATTCGCCTAGGGCTCCATTTTGGCGTGTGTGCAAAAAAAATAACCTGGCCAATGAGAGGGGCCTGCCGCTAGTTGCGAGATACGTACCGACAGGTGGGGAAATAATGGGCTTGGGTTTGCTGTTTCCAGGCTGTGGCTGGGGCATCTCCAGCCTCACTTCTCATGACCTCTAAATGTGGCGTTGGTCCAGCACGATTTACTGGGAACATGTGGGGGCAGGATCTGATGCTGTGATGAGCTTCATACAACTTACACACCGTCGTCGACTTCATCTTTTAACACTTCCTCTTGACTTTCTTAATTCATTCCAATCTCTATTATCACATATCCCAAAAATGTCCTCATCAGCAGCAAAACTCTACCCTCCCACCAAACAACCCTCCACCACCCCCAGCCCCCTCCCAAAGCTCCTCCAAACCCCCTCGGGCCTCGCCATCCTCGAGCTCCAAGGAAGTATAAACCTCCCCCAAGACGCCGAGGGCGAGCCCCTCAAGGACGTCGAGGTCGGCAGGCTCGAGTTCCCAGACTACGCGCCCGACGCCATCGGCACGGGCTGGATGAAGCGCGTCCACATGTACATCGGCCAGCACCAGCGGCTGACGGGCGAGGTCAAGAAGCTGCCCAGGGCGCTCGCCGTGGTGCGGAGGCGGCAGAACAGGACGCTGGAGGGGTCCGGCGGGACGTATGCCGAGGAGGGCGAGAACCTGGAGGTGGTGGAAATTGTCAAGTATAAGCTCATGTTTGCGAGTCGGCCGGAGCCTGTTGGGACGGCTCATGCTCCGGCTTCATGAGAAATGGGAGGGGTAGTCTCAAGTCTTCTCTCAAACTCGCTGAAGTGCCCCCATACTCCTGCGAGCCCATCACCTCTCGCCGTACACCTGTCTTCGTCACTCGAGCAAGAAACAGCTCCGATACTTCGGACTCTTCCTCATGCCAAGAGCGATCATCAGTCTCATTGCTGTACGCCAGAAGACAGCAACTAAAGGCGTCACTACCGAGGCGGTATCCATTGCACCAGATGCTTCTCAGGTTGCGGCATTCATCGCCCGCTTTCTCGAGCAACTCGCCATCAAATATGGACGGAATGGCCACCAGACCAGCTGCTCGTAACGACCGCCGCATTCATCACACTGCTCTCTTGGAAGCAACTCACCATGAAATATAGTCGAGATTTCCATCGGGCCAGTTGCTCGTAATGATTGCGAGCAACGCCATAGGCGGCCATCATACGATAGATGCAGGACTCTCATCTCATGGAGCATAGAAGCATGTTCATCGGCTTATATATGTACATATCAAAGAACTCCAGCTTCTAGGCCATGACTTTTGACGCTTTGAAATTTGCAATCATGCCGCAACGCCCTCCAACGGCTTCGTTCTCCCCAATCCATCCCTCCCATAATAATCCATCGGGTAGATGCCATCACCACCCTCCTCCTTACCCCATCCCCCTCTCTTCTCCAGCGCCACAAGTGCCTCGTAGGGAGTCAGCAGCGGCCTCGGGAATGCGTAACCCCAGTCAATGCTCAGACGCGGACACGCAACCTGGACCCAGCACTCGACGTCGCTCATCATGGCAAGTTTGCCCGGGAAGATCTCGCTCAGGAGCAGGTCGACCTTGGGTATGCCTCTCTCGGCCAGCTCGCGCTCAATCATGGCCAGCGTATGCGGGTTCCCCTGACGGCCGAGAGATCCCAATATGAGGCCCCAGCGGCGTGCTTTGCGGGCCGTCTGGATGGCGGAGCGGCGCACCGACTGCATCTCGTCGTGGCCGTACGTCTCCCGCGTCAGCTTGCGCGAGTAGGGGTCGTAGCGGTAGGCCGGAATGGCCGGGTTGTGGATCATGATGCTCTCGAGATGGAAGCGCCCGTCGCCGAGATATAGAATCAGGTCGACGCCGTCTTCGTCCCGCAGGCGAGGCGACGTGCAGCCCAGGATCTCGCCCTTGCTGAGCGGTCCAATCTGCGGCACAACGACGCCGAAGCCCGCCGCCTCGAGGCTGCTCCGCACACCGTGGATCGTAGCGTTGAACTGGATCGTGCCGACGATGGCGATGGTCTTGCCGCTGGCGAAATTCCTCTCCAGCGAGGCGACCAGATGCGCCGTGTCGATGCTGATGTCGACAAAGACGTACAGGGTCTTGATCTTGGTGACGTCCACGGGAATCAAGCAGCTATGCGCATAATGCACCAGCAAGTCGCACCCCAGCGCCCGCGCCGTGTAGTCGTCGATGCAGCACGCGCCATACGTCACGTCGCCCATGATGAGCGTCTCGACGCCCGGGCAGAACTGCGTGATGATGTCCGAAATGGTCGTCGCGAAGAGGAGGAGGCCCTCGGGCATCTGCAGCGCCACTTTGCGCGCGCCGGACTCGCGTACACGGTGTATCGTCTTGGGGATCTCGAAGTTGTAGTTTGCCGGGAGGAGGGCGATGGCTTCCTTGAGGCTGGGGTCTTCTGATATCTCTGGGGGCACTCGGTTGAGCAGTCGTGGCGCTCGTCGAGGCTTGGCAGCTGTATTGCGAATGTGTGAGACTGAGCTTCAAAGGACGAATACTGAATTATCATAGATACCTTGAACAGCTCCGCTGCCTCCCTCCTCCGTCGTTCCCTTTGCCGCCGCCGCCTCATCCGCCGCTCTTCTCCCCACGAACCGCCGCTTCGGCTGTCTAGTTGTTGTTGCCGGCGCCTCGTTCTTTGCAGTTTCGGCCTCTGTTGTGTGCACTTCGAGTCGCGCTTCTTCGATATCCGCCGCCGCGCCGAGGTCGACGAGCGCCCTGTCGTCTTCCATTTCTAAATCAACCTCTTCTCTTCCTCTTTTTGACTATGACCTCTTCTTGCCCCTCGCTGTCCCCTCGTCTGGCAGCCCTCTTTGATTTGACGTCGCTTGTCTTGGCCTTTCGCAAACTTAGATGTCAAAGTCGTAAGTGGTAAGACTTGTTAATATATAAGACCGATCAGGTTTGCTGCGCGGGCAATTTTGCGGATATGTCGAGAGTTGGCTGTAGTTGTAAGTGACAAATGCCTTTTGATATTTTTACACTGGAGATGACCGTTCAAGGTGGGGTGACGGACGGCAGACCTGCCCCACCATGGACGCCTTTTCACTTACACGCATGAGAAGACATGATCAGATCCAAATGCTACGCTCTTCAATCGACCTCAATACTGTACAAGCTTCGGGACTCTCATAGAGGTATATTGGATGTATAGAAGACAAACACCCGCCAAAATACGTATCCGTCTCTTCGTTCGACTTACATCCAAGCGAATCACGCACTCTTCTGCCCATCAATGCTAAACCGATAACTCGCCTGCACCACGTACGGCTCGTCCCCCGGTCCCCAGACCTGCTTCCGCCCCCATTCCGGGTTGTTGATGCCGTCGATCCAGTCCTCCACCTCCATCACCAGGCACCCGTACTGCGGAATCGTCCTGGGGAAGCGCTTGTTGCCGTGCAGCCCTTGCGTCTTCTTCAGCGCCAGGGTGCCGTCCTGCGAGTTGCAGCTGTACACCTGGAAGGCCGTCTGGTCCGAGTAGACGTCCAGGTGGATGCCGGACCAGGCCGACGAGAGGCTCGCGACGGGGCCTTCGGTGCGCCAGTCAAAGGGCCCCAGGGCATCTCGGTTAATGAGGTAGCAGGTGTCTGTGTGTGTGTGTCTCGCAGTTAGCTCAAACGCTTCTTTTCTTTTGTCTCCCTCTACAAGACAGGGGAAGAGACATCAAGAATTCTTACCATAACCAGTACAATTGTTGCCGCAGTTGTTCTTGATCCCGCTCTGCTCAAACCCCTGCCCAAGCTGCTTCGGCTTCGACCAGAAATCATTCGCCGTCCCCTTCTTGTTCGCCAGGATATCCCCCGTGGGGATCAAATACCCGTCGACGTCCACCCTCTGGCCGCTATACGGCAAATGCAGCGTATGGTTGAGCGCCGTCTGCGTCTGGTTGTTTGCATAACCGTCCAAGTTCCAGTACGTGTGGCTGCTCAGCATGATGGGCGTCTTCTTCGTCGTCGCCAGCGCAACCATCTTGAAGTCCCACTGATTCTCCTTCACCGTGTACGTGATGTGGGACACCACCTCGCCGGGAAAGCCCTCCTTGCCATCCGGGTCGACGATGCTAAAGGTGATGCTCGTGGGCGTGTGCGCAGACACGGTGAAGTTGCGCCAGTCCCAGCCGTCGGGGCCCCCGTGCAGCGTGTCCGTCCCGTTGGGCGCCGCCTTTGTAGGATTCTCGTTGGGCAGCACGTGGTACGTCTTGCCGTCGATGCTGAAGGTGCTGTTCTTGATGCGGTTCGCGTACCGGCCCGGCACGCCGCCAAAGTGCGGGTGCTGCGAGTCGATGCTATAGTACGAGGCGTTGTCGAAGCCGCCGACGAGGTCGCGCCGGATGCCGTAGCGGTCGTTGATGAAGAGGTTGGAGATGGAGGCCCCGTACGGGATGAAGGACGCCTCGATGCCCTTCGCGGAGATCCAGTACTTGCCGTCCTTGTCCGGGCCGCTTCCGCCCTTGGCAGCCGTTGCTGTGAGCGGGAGGACGGCGGCGAGAGCAAAGACGGCCAGAGAGCTGCCCGTCAACTTCATGATGGGCAATGGTTCCTTGGTTTCGATCAGAGGCAATCGAGGCAGCGCGTGTGTTGGTAGCCCGCGATATGGCAGTCAACCCTTTGGGCCAGCAGAAATTCAAGGGAGATGGGCAAGGCAATCCCCCCAGAGCGGGAGAGCCAGCCCTCCCTCTTTAGTACTCCAACATCGGCCTCGTCCTCATCCCAGTGACACCACATCTCATCCATGACCCAATGTTACCGCACCGCGGATCCATGCATTGCCCGCATAGTTCGTCAGAATAGTCCATGCAGCATCTCGTGTTTTCGGCCTCACTCGTCCGTCCACATGACGCAAAGAAGTAGTGTCCCAACCAACCTCTCGCCGTCCACAACAGGCAACCAACGATGGTGATCACAGGGGGCGGGTTGGAAGGGTTGGAACGGCACAAAGAGAGAGAGGGGTAAGCAAGATTGCCTTTCCCCGGATCGTCTCTGCGTTTGTTCATGGGGAAAAAAGGAGGAAGAGGAGCGGTTCGTTGACCAGGATCCTTTTACGCGAAGAGAGAAACCCCCGAGGGCGAAGGATCGTGTTTTGCTGAGACGGGGTTGGAGCGGTTGCTTTAGGTGCGTGCATGATGTCACCTGGCGATGAAGTCTCCGAGCAAACCACCAGAGCAACAACTTGAAACTCAGGTCATCAATGACATTCACTGCAAAAGTTGACGAGGTCAATTACCCATAGACCACAATATATGAGGATACAAGATACTGCCTAGGTATTCAGTGAGAGCCAATGCAGTCCATAAGCGTTCATGTTTCGACCATCTGATGGCCCCAACTTTACATCAAATGTTACCGACACCATGTCACCGCCAGACCCCAAGGTAACATCAACGCGGGGAAGTAGGAAGCACAAATGAAAGGAATCGGAACCTTGATCAGGCCCCATCAATTGACATCAATTACATTGTGGTCACCAGGTACCTTGTGGTCCATGCAACAAGCTCGTCAAAAGTGCCTTCACCTCCCATCCCAGTATCCTCCGGGATAGGTATCCTAGGTAAACCAACAGGACGGCTCTCCCCAACCCCAGATTCCGTGTCTCCTCGGTAAGCGCTCCAATAATGTGCATACGGGTAGCAAAGTGATCGAGTACTTATTTCCGCACAGTTCCTGCCCAAAGGATCAACCACATGATACTAGGATGCTGTGCCGTACCCTAGAATCCATACCATCCAAACTGGTACTATACAGCTGGTCAGTTCATGTTGCAATCCTCTCCAGATCCACCCCATTGACGTATCATCTATCACATGGCCTGTCCCAGTTCCGAGTTCTGAGAAATCACCTTGACATTGAATCCGCTGCTTATATTTACGCTACAACCTTCTCCATTATCGTGTCAGACTGCTTCCCTTCCAGCGCAGTAGGAAATATTAGATGAAAGAACAAAAAAGATAACAATAGTTCCGCACCCGGTGTTAATGCACCTCACATTCTACCACTGGTAAGAAATAGCACACCCCCAAACTAGTTTATGCTTTACTCTCCACAACACGACGAAACAAACAGTGTCACCGAGGGCCGTTAAGCGTCAATCAGGTTCTCCTCAGCCTGCTGCCTGTCGTTGGAGGCAACCTCCGCTCGCGCCTTGCCCTTCGACTTGGCATCCTTCTGAGATCGCTGGTAGAACTCGTTGAGGATCTTGGCCGGGATACGGTTGAGCAGGTCCTTGGGGTAGATGCGGAGCAGGCTCCATGCCAAATCCAGGGACTCGTAGATCGTTCGAGACTCGTACGCGCCCTGGCTGATGAACTGGCGCTCGAACTTGTCCAAGAACTCCAGTGACAGCTTGTCTTCGGATGACAGGGCCTCCTCACCAACGACAGCCTTCATGGCGGCGGCATCACGGCCAATGGCGTACTTGGCGTACAGCTGGTTGGAGACATCACCGTGGTCCTTGCGAGTCATGCCCTCACCAATGGCAGACTTCATCAAACGCGACAGCGAGGGCAGCACGTTGATCGGGGGGTAGATACCACGGTTGTACAGAGGTCGGTCGACGAAGATCTGTCCCTCGGTAATGTATCCAGTCAAGTCGGGGATGGGATGGGTGATGTCGTCGTTGGGCATGGTCAAGATGGGGATCTGGGTGATGGAGCCGTTTCGTCCCGTCACACGACCGGCTCGCTCGTAAATGGTCGACAAATCGGTGTACATGTAACCGGGGAAACCACGACGACCGGGCACTTCCTCTCGAGCGGCGGAAACCTCACGAAGGGCATCGCAGTAGGCCGACAGATCGGTCAAGATGACCAGGACGTGCTTCTCGAGCTGGTAGGCGTAGTACTCGGCGGTGGTAAGGGCAAGACGAGGAGTAATAATACGCTCGATGCTGTTTGCAATGTCAGCTTTCAGTCTGGCCAAGTCGTTGGCTAACAAAGGGAATCTCTTACGTAGGGTCGTTGGCAAGGTTGAGGAACAGCGTGGTACGCTCCAAGCTGCCGTTCTCTTCGAAATCGCGGGTAAAGAATCGAGCAGTCTCCAAGTTGACACCCATGGCACCGAACACGATGGAGAAGTTCTCCTCGTGGCCGTCGTGGACACCCTTGTTGGTAACTCCGTGCTGCTTGACCAAACCAGCCTGTCGGCAAATCTGAGCGGCGATTTCGTTGTGTGGCAGACCGGAGGCGGAGAAGATGGGAATCTTTTGTCCTCGCGCGATCGAGTTCATTGTGTCGATGGCCGAGATACCGGTCGCAATCATTTCCTCGGGGTATTCCTAAGACGGGTAAGCTGTGCGACACAAAAACGAAGAAAGCATCGATATGATGCTACTTACTCGGGAGAAGGGGTTGATGGGACTGCCGTTGATGTCGAGGTACTCTTCCGGCAGCACCTTGGGGCCCTTGTCGATGGCACGTCCAGAACCATCAAAGATACGGCCCAGCATGTCCTCCGAGACACCGAGCTTGAGGTTCTGGCCGGTGAACTTGATACGAGTCTAGATGTGCGTATCATGTCAGCCAACAGCTCTCCAGCAGCTGGTCACTGGGCTGACGTACCTTCTTCACATCGATACCGGAGGTACCCTCGAAAACCTGGACAACAGCTCGGTCACCTGTACCCCCCCCCCCATAGTCAGAACTCGCTTTCCACGAAGACATTGGCAGTGCCATGCCCACATATAGGCGTATCGTTGCAGAGGAATCTTCACTCACCTCGAGCTTCCAGAACCTGTCCGTTTCTCTCCGTACCGTCGGGCAGGGTAAGCGTGACGATCTCATTGTATCGCGGGAATTTGACCTGTGCCGCAATCCATCGTCAGCATTGTATAAGACCGACTCTTGCTCCATTTCCTGCCTCAGCAGAGGAGATGGAAGAGTAACAAAGGGTAAAAGAGACTGCAGACGCCGTACGTTCTCGACAATGACCAGCGGACCGTTGACGCCGCTCACGGTGTTATACTGCAGTTGCGGCACAACCGAGTAGGATGACGAATTGCGTGGGTCCGCCATTGCTGCGAATCTCTCTGATGTGTGTTCTGTGTTTCGTCGTATGCGTAGCAGCTGGAAGCTTCCGCTGTGAAGCTATATCTGCGTGATCCCAGGTCGGCTTTGTTGTGATTCGGCCACGGCGCAGCAGTCAAGTAGCCACGAATTCAAGGTTGAAGGGGGGGTTGATAGAGGAGCGGGCTCGTCGAGTGCTGACGGATGTAGCGAGCAAAGGCGTGAATGAGAGCTGTGGAGGGTAGGCAGATGGACAGAGCTAGAGAAGCCGTAGCAGGCCCGGGAATGAGGTGCCTCGCAGAAAAGAGCTGGAGCTGGTTGGAGGTTGGAAGGTCGGAGAGACGAGCGACGAGCGACGAGAGAGTAGAGGGAAGGCTGGCTGGAAGCGAAACAGCTCAGCGCAAGAGTGGGTGGAGACGAGAGGCGACCCGGACGCCGTTCAGTGCCTTTGGGCTGTTCGCTATAGCGGGCTTTTAGCGGCTGAGTTTGGGGTTGGGGGGGCGCTGAAGGCCGTGCTACCTGGTAGCAATTGGAGGTTCTTAGTGCTGCCGGTTGTCGCTGCGCAGAAAAATAGACCCCACGCCGAGGGCCTCTTTGGGCTGGCTGGGGGCCTGGAGTCAAGATTTGGACAGCGAGAGACGACTCGGCGGCCGTGACATCACATGACTGCTAGCGGCAGGCGCTTCCATTGACATTCCTGAACTGAAGCTACCCCTCCAAACAAGCAGCTGGAGAATCAAGCAGTGATTAATGATACTACTGCGGGCGAAGCTCGGCAATCTGTGCAAGGGGACCATCTACAACAGCTCAAATAGCTCTACAAAAAACATCAAATCTCGATATAGACATCTTCAAGAACTGCCTAAGTAGCAACGCCATTGGATCAATTGGACCAGATCAAGCAAGACTTGGTCCCAGAAAATAGCACATGGAGCTCAACCGGCAGGTAATAGCAACGATATTCAGCCACGAGGATTGACGGTTCCCGATAAGCAACAACGACTTATATCCAACAGAAATCCCTATCCTGCCCATCTTGAGACACACAATAGGACATCAAGAAGATTCTTGTGCAACGTATTTCTTATTTACTCATACAGATCATCAACCATCCTCTTACACGCATCCAAACACACCTCACCCCCATCCTCACCATGACCATCACCCTTCACCATCTACGTCTGTCCCGGCGCAGCAGCAGCCTCAGCGCTCTTCCTCGCCCTCGCCCCCAGCACCGCCTTTCCCACCGAGCTGTCATTCGCCTTGCCCAGCTCCTGCGTGATCCAGGCCCCAATGTCCGCCACGCCGTCCAAGTCAACTCCCGTCTCCATCCCCAGCGTCTCCATAAAGTACACCATGTTCTCCGTCGCCACGTTGCCCGTCGCCCCGGGGCTGTAAGGGCACCCGCCCAGCCCGCCGACGCTGCTGTCAAAGATGCGGATCCCGTGCTCCAGCGACACCGCCGTGTTCACCAGCGCCTGCCCGTACGTGTCGTGGAAGTGCATCGCAATGTCCTCGTTGCGGATCCCCGCCGCGCTCATGCACCGCAGCAGCGCGCTCGTCCGCGGCGCCGTCCCCATGCCCGTCGTGTCCCCCAGCGAGATCTCGTCCGCCCCGGACTCGAGCAGGTCCGTCGCGATCTCGGCCACCTTGTGCGGGTCCACGTCGAAGCCCTCGAACGGGCAGCCCAGCACGACCGAGATGTACGCCCGCACCCGCAGGCCCAGCGCCTTGGACTCCTGGATGACGGCCTTGAAGCGCTCCAGCGACGTCTTGATGTCGCAGTTGAGGTTCTTCTGCGAGAAGCTCTCCGTGGCGGCCGCGAAGACGGCCACCTCGATCCCGGGCTTCTTGACGTCGGGCTCCAGCTGCGTGGAGAACCGCCCGGGGTTCTGTTTCAGCAGAGCTGCTGCGTTCTGGAGGCCCTTTGTATTCGGTGCGAGGAACGAGTATGTGACGGGGACGGGGGCGTCAATGGGCTGCTGGAGGATGTGCTCCATGATTTCGCTCGAATTGGCCATCTGGATCAATGACAATCAGCCATCTGTTCTCTCTCTCTCTCTCTCTCGCTCCTCCGCCGCGTAGTATAGTACAATCAAAACCCAAGTCACAACACCCCCTTACCTGAGGCACCCATTTCGGCGCAACAAAAGACCCAGCCTCAATCGTCGTCAGCCCCGTCCTGGCCAGCCGCTCAATCAGCTCAATCTTGGTCGCCAGCGGAATCGCCTTCTTCTCGTTCTGCAGCCCGTCTCGGGGGCCGACCTCGACAATCTTGACCCGGTTGTCGGATGACGTCTGCGCGCGGCCGGCCGTTGCGAAGCCTCGGCGCACCACCAGCAGCGGCGACGACCGCCTGCACGCGCGACACAGGGACGAGCGGAGCAGAGACATGATCAATGAGCGAATCCAGTCAATAAATAATGAATGTGATTGACTTGACAGAAACAGAGGCTGGCGATGGGAGGCTGCAAGTTATTCTAGCACAATTTGCTAAGCAAACCCGTCTAGAAGGCAATGGAATGGGTAGATGGCAGTTTTGTGTTTCTTTTGCCCAGCAAAGTTCCAAACAAGTTGCGAGAGGGCGGTCACTTTGGCGCATAGTATCGGCCCGTGGCACCACCCTCTGACGGCTATTGCAAGCCACGCCCGTCCGTTTAACCCGGGGCTGACCTCCGCATTCCTCGGCCTTAAAAAAAGGAGCCTCGACTTGTCACGATTGTCGGGCCGCCAACTACCGCAGCAGACATTGGGCAGCACTTTGGAAATCAAAGCAGACCTGAGGTCTTGCAGGTGACACAGCAGACTTCTTGCAAATGACAGTCACCACTACATGGCTCTCACTGGGCGAAAATAGGTGCTGGTTGGAGTATCTCTTGTACACAACTGCTCAAATCAAATTACAAGGTATAGATAACAACTTCTGTTGGCTGCTTCCCGTTTACAAATTTGCTTTTTAACATTAAAAAACTGAGGCTCGCGACCTAATAAAGAAAATACACCCCCGCCCAAGAGGACACGGGGGCGGGATTAGGTGGTACCGGTTTTCACAGTCCATACCCTCGATATCCATGACTCCAACAGCAAAAAAACAAGCTTAGTACTCGGCCTCCATCTCCTCGTTGTCGAGAGAGTCGGCGGCAACCTCCTCGTAATCGCGCTCCAGGGCAGCGAGATCCTCACGGGCCTCGGAGAATTCACCCTCCTCCATACCCTCACCAACGTACCAGTGAACGAAGGCACGCTTGGAGTGCATGAGGTCGAACTTAAGGGACAGGGAGGACCAGGCCTCGGCGATGGCGGTGGTGTTGGACAGCATGCAGCTGTGATCAGGTTAGCTTTTTTGGTCATGACTGGTCGAGGGGACTTGTGGCATAAACTTACACAGCGCGGTTGACCTTGGCGAGGTCGCCGTTGGGCACGTTCTCGGGAGCCTGGTAGCAGATACCCAGCTTGAAACCAGTAGGGCACCAGTCGACGAACTGGATGGTGCGCTTGGTCTTAAGGGTGGCGACGGCGTTGTGGGCATCGTTGGGGACGACGTCACCACGGTACAGCAGGCAGGTGGCCATGTACTTGCCGTTGCGGGGGTCACACTTGACCATCTGGTTGTTGGGCTCGAAGCAGGACATGGTCATCTCCTGGACGGAGTTGGCCTCGTGGGCAGCCTTGGCGGCCGAGATGACGGGGGCGTAGGCGACCAGAGGGAAGTGGATACGGGGGTAGGGCACCAGGTTGGTCTGGAACTCGTTCAGATCAACGTTGAGGGAACCATCGAAACGCAGGGAAGCGGTGATGGAGGAAACGACTGCGTAGGCACCTCGTCAGCACATGCACGCCTCACGGCTCTTGCAACTTGTCCAGATACGTACCCTGAGCAATCAGGCGGTTGAGGTTCTCGTAGTTGGGGCGCTCGAGGCCGAGGTTACGACGGCAGATGTCGTAGATGGCCTCGTTGTCGACCATGAAGGAGCAGTCGGAGTGCTCCAGGGTGGTGTGGGTGGTCAGGATGGAGTTGTAGGGCTCAACGACGGAGGTGGCGGTCTGAGGAGCAGGGTAGACGCAGAACTCGAGCTTGCTCTTCTTGCCGTAGTCGACGGACAGGCGCTCCATCAGGAGAGCACCGAAACCAGAACCGGTACCACCACCGAAGGAGTGGAAGACCAGGAAGCCCTGGAGACCAACGCAGTTGTCGGCCACACGGCGGATCTTGTCGAGCACGCCCTCAATCAGCTCCTTGCCGACGGTGTAGTGGCCACGGGCGTAGTTGTTGGAAGCATCCTCCTTGCCGGTGATCATCATCTCCGGGTGGAAAAGGTTGCGGTAAGGACCGGTTCGGACCTCGTCGACGACGTTGGGCTCCAAGTCGCAGTAGATGGCGCGGGGAACATACTTGCCCTGGCCTGTGTTTTTTTGTTCGTAGATGGTTAGAGGCGACATATTCTTCACACATTGGTCGACGGAAAACAGGAGAAGATAGACATACCAGTCTCGGAGAAGAAGGTGCTGAAACCCTGATCGGGGTCCTGAGCCTTGCGCTCCTCAGTGAGGTAACCATCGGGCTGTGAGAGAGAAAAGACGATGTTAGCTTCGCGTCTTGGTGGCGTGTGGGATCGGTAAACAATGGCTCAAGCCACATGTTCGGGACGTGGTTATGGTGGTGGTGGTGGTGTACCTGGATACCGTGCTCGAGGCAGTAAAGCTAGAGAGGTGAAATACGTTAGCTCGGATGCTCAGAAAACAACGACGAAAAACAACAACATGGCCGAAAAAGGCAGATATAGACTAACCTCCCAGCAGGAATTGGCAATCTGGCAACCAGCCTGGCCGACTATCCTCCAAAAGTTAGCATCGTCAACTCGTCGGCTTGGGCGCCCATGGGATGCGGTGAAGGGACGCGTTTGGTGGGGAGATTGAGAGAGGGGGGCCTAAAGGGGCTTCCTCTGGTCGGGGGAGTCGAGTCGAGCTAGCACGCACCGTTGATGCTGATAACCTCACGCATGGTGAACGCTTTTCGTGGGTATTTTCTGAGGACGGGAGAGAAGAAGTTAGGAGTAGAGACTGCAGGACTGAGCTCGAGGAGCAAGAAGTCAAGTGCAAGATTGAGCCCGGGGAAAAGAAGGAAAAAGGCTTTTATTGGGAAAAGGTGGTGGAAGGGACAGGAGGACGGACAAGTTGCAGCTGGTTCGTCGGGAGAGGGTCGACTCGAGGTGGGGGGGAAATTTGGACGGACAGGGGCTTTGTGCTGCTGGCGAGGAAGAAGAGGGGAGGTTTGTTGACTTTTTTGCCTGGGGGGGTCCAGGCGTGGCTGCAAGTGGTAAGCGCGTCTTTGCCGGGAGCGCGCCCCTGGTTGCCTCACCGCTCGAGCAGACAGCAGAATGATTTATTGCCGAGATGAAGAAGAAGAAGAAGCGCTGGACTGATGGACGGGGGTTGCAGTATTACTAGTTGTACTGGTGATGAAGATGGATATACATTTGTATCAATAGGCATCATCATCTTCTACGATTCTACACATGCAATCATTCTGTTGTTGACCTGCTCTGCTGTGTTGTTGGCGTGTTTTGGGTGCTGTCAACCGTGTCGTGTCGAATGGAGCTTGCAACTTGCTACCGCTCGTACCGGTACCGGCCGCTACCTTTGCACCTTGGGGGATGCGCTGACCTTGACCTTGCAAGGCACCTCAGTCGAAAGCACAAGGCAACAGTGAACTTCAATCCCCATGGTGCCCAAAAGGGGGCTTGATAAAGGCACATACATTTGTACCCTGTACGCTGGCTGATGCTCGGGACTTCTGTACCTGTCTGTACTGGGTATACCTTCACATTGCAAAAAGAATCATTTTCCCTTTGATGACGGAAGAGACAAAGACGACATGACTTGCCATCTTCCACAGGGCAACTTCCAAAACATCGCCACCACACCGTCGTCTTCTTATGCGTCTTCTCAGGTTTCCTCACTCCCCTATCCCCGAACCGCCTTCATTCGCCTTCGACCAGCCAAAACAGGCGCCACCGTGGCCACCTTAGCCACGAGCTATCGGGAGTACTCCCGAGTATCTGTACGAGCCGGCCAGCACTCCACCCCCCTTCAAAGAGCTGTCCCAAACAGGGACCGCGCTGAGCACCGCTACCGCCTCATAATTACCAAGCAAAATGACGGCCATGCACCTTTCTGCCAACCACGGCAAGAGGCAAAAAGGAAATAACGGGCTGAAGAAACGAAAAAGAAACGAAAATCAGCCGTTATCCTCTTGGCATAGAAAATGAAAACGAAGGAAGACGGGCAAACTTATGGCTTCCAAGGACACAGGCAAACACGCCTGTCTGGTTGGTCTCTCCATCATATATCTGGGCCTTCTCTCCCTTCAGAAGTCAACCAACACCAGTGTTCCCATCTTGCAACGCAGCATCTTCCAAAAGCCATATCAAACCCATCATCACAGAGACGGCAACATGTACTTCACACAAGTGCCAACCCGGTGATGCCATCTTCCCGCCCGCTTCCCCGACCGCCGGTCCCTCCCCCTAGCCCGGCCCCCCCTTTATCACTTCGTACTTTGTGCCCATCCCACTTCCCATGCCTCTCACGATTTAGGCCAAAATCAAGACCCTCATCAACCGACAAGGGGCCCTCTTCTGGAAAAATCAATGGTTCGCCCTGGCTTGCCAGCAATGCTTTCTCTCCCCACTCGTGACAATGTGGTCCAGTGCCTTTTTCTCACTGCTGGCACCGCGAAAAAGGGAACGGACGGGGGACCAGGGCGGCCGAGCTCCATAATGTCGTTGCAATTAGCCTCCTGACGTCCCGGCGATCGCTGTGTCGCGTTGTTACGATTGCTTTATTACTCCGGATAGTGATATGCGTGCATACCCAGCATTTGAGCCTTAGTACTGAGGTAGTGACATTGATTGGACTTCGTACCCGTATCCGCCATCGGGTCCAGAGGGAAGCCACATGGACTAGAGAAGCCCAAAGGACAAAGGATGACATGGACAGACTTCTAGAAGCGCTCTGGAACGACAAGTACCTGGCGATCAAGACGGATGAGATCGTGGAGTATACATACCTGACCATCAAGACGGATGAGATCGTGGAGTATACATACCGTCAACGTGCACCCCGTATTGATAGCCGTGAGCCTAGCCCGCTTGTTCCCATAGCTTGGTGAGTGGTGGGCAGAAAAGGAGGCGGCAGATCAATCTCACCTCTGCCAGTACAAGTTGAAGGTTGTAGAAATGCAAATCAGCACTGATGAGCTACAGACAGCTGTGCTTGATGATCAGCACAGGCTTCCCTGAAAAGATACACGAGTCTCACGGTATCTATTCGAATACTACCCAGTTCACAGTCTCATATCAAGCTCTTGGCAATTGATCGTGATACGGAGCCCATCGAGCCGTCTCAAGTCGGGTACGTACCGATCTCGAAGCGGCAGCCAGCCAATCACAAGCGCGCAAAGCCGCCACTGTCCACATCTCAACACCATCTTCATGTGTTCACGACAGCCTCGCCGTAGTAAGATCACCACTTCTTCTCCAACGGAATCTCACCCTCACCCTCGCCATCCAATCCATGCCATAAACTCGTACGAGCCATAATTCTTCAAAAGACCCAGAGTCCTCAGCAAAACAACACAACAAGCCGGAAAAAAAAAAAATTACACAATGCCAACACTCAAACCTCACCTCCTCCTCCTCCCACTACTACTCACACTCCCATCCCCCACCACCGCCAACACCGAAAAAGTAATCTTCACAGCGCCCCCTCCCATCACCCTCGAAACCTTCTCCTCCGCCGCATCTCCAGCGCTCAACAGTCTGCCCGTCCTCGGCCCGTCAACCAGCTGGTCCCTACGCACAAACCTCACCCGCGTCTTCGCCAACGAGCGAGAAGAAGACGGGCAGCAGCAGCAGCAGCGGGGATACCCGTCATGGCTGCTGCTGGAAGACCTCACGCCGGGGCAGCGGTATGAAGTTCGCGTTTGTTGGTCTGCACTTGTAAGTCTTGAATCTTCTCCTCATAGACAATACCTATACTCAAACAAACCTCTTTACACAAATCACCTCCCTTCCCATATCTTCAAAATCAAACACCACTCATCAAGATATCTACCTTACACAAAGAAAAACATCAAACTCACAATAACCCCAAGGAACCAACCGAATTCACTCTAGACACATACCCCCTCAACACCATCCTCTCAACCCCCCACCTCCTCCAATCCCTATCTCAACCACACGCCGCCACATCACCACTCTCAGCCTCCTCAACTCAACAACCTCACCACCATCACCACCATCATCATCATCTCCAACAGTCACCACCAAACGAAACCTCGTCCATCCTACTACTGCGCGTCCTCGCCGCCGCAGACTACTTCTCCCACCACCATTCCCTCATGAAGGACCCACCTCCCCCGGTCCTCGTCGACCTCATCCTGGACCCGTACGTCTACAACGTTCTCCCCCAGTCGCTCGTGCCGACGGTGTGCTATCTTGTGGTTGTCGGCATCGCGTCGTGGTTTGTGGCGAGGTGGGCGGCGAGATCGTTGGCTGCTATTGCGGATTCTGAGGACAAGGAGAAAAAACAAAACTAGGTGTAGAAGAAAAGGATGAATTCAAGGGAACTACCTAGACGAATAGATGCCCCCAAACTATCAAAGTATAGCCTGGTAGGTATGCTCTACTTCTGCATACTACACGAAAAACTGTCCCGTCTCTCATCGTCCATTCCTGTCGACACACAAGCTTCATACCGACATCACGTCACGTCGTGCTCATGTCCTTTTTGTAGTCTAGATATGAAATGCAAGATGAATAAACCCAAATGTAACCACCCTATCTACACAGATGCATCATGATTCTACCTCTCGACATGCGATACGACGTCTTGTTTTTTTCGAAAAAGGAATCCACCGTCTCACCAACATCACCGCATTATTCATAGGTGAATTTTGGACACAGCTCTCTCCTCACAACCAGCATACAATGCCAGTCAGTCGCCAACTATTCATCTCCATGGGGGACCTGTAGTCAGTGCGGAAACACACGGATCTTAGGCATTTTCCCCCGAAACCGAGTGAAGGGAGTACGGAAGAGGGCGCTCCTAGTAACCGCCACCATATCCTCCGTGGCCGGGATGGCTGCCATGAGGCACAGGGGGGGCACCCGGCTGGTATGACTGCTGTCCGTAGGGCTGCTGGCCCCCTGGAGCACCATACGACTGGTTGTAGCCGCCACCCTGTCCGCCAGAAGGAGGGTACTGTCCAGGCGGCGGGGGATACTGTTGCTGCTGTCCAGGCGGCGGGGGGAACGATTGCTGGTGGCCCGGTGGAGGATACTGAGGATGACCGCCCGGCGTCGTCGCACCATAGTTGGGCTGCTGGTGCTGTCCTCCCGTGGGGGCTCCGTAGCCCGGCTGATGCTGCCCTGCGGGCGCGCCATATCCCTGTTGATGGCCGCTAGGCGAGGGAGCTCCGTAGCCTTGCTGATGGGAGGGAGTGCCGTAGCTCGGCTGCTGCGGTGTGTAGCCACCAGCTCCGTGTGATGTCGCGTGTTGGTCGTGCGATGCGCCGTACGGGCTCGGAGCCGGACTATGCGCGTAGGATTGGCTGCCGTATGGCTGGTGTCCGTACGTCTGGCCACCAGGGGGGCCACCCGGAGGAGGTGGAGGGTACGAGTTATTGTTGCCAGATGGAGGGTTCTGGTGCGCGCCCGTATGTGATGACGGCGTCGCTGAGTGGCTCGAGCCATGAGTCGACCCGGGAGGGTTGTAGGTCGGGGCCTGTCCCGAGTACGTGTTACCGCTCGATCCCGTATTCGAGTAGCCAAAGCTCTGGCCCTGTTTGTCGCAATCACGTCGTTGGTTAGCTCCTTGCTTCGATTGCGCCGAAGATGTTCATGGGTTGCTTACACCGTGACCCGGCTTGTCTCCTCCCATAAAGTGAGAGGCCACACCACCCACAAGGCCGCCCAGGCCGCCCTGCTGATGCGGTGTGCCGCCGGACGAACCGCCGTGGTAGCCCTGTTGCGAATGCGACTGCTGCGAAGGCTTGCCCGAAGGCGAGAACAGGCCCGACGCCAGCTGTCCGACCAGCTTTCCGGCGATGGAATCCTTGCCGCCGCCGCTGCCACCGTGGCCGCCGCTGCTTCCATGCGAGCCGCCGCCGAGGAACTGGGCAGCGAGGCCGCCGAGAGGATTGCCGCCGCTGCCACCATGGCCGCCGCCACCGCCGCCGTGACCGCCCGAACCCTTGCCGCCCATGAGCATGTTCATAGCCATTGACTACAAGTCACCCAGGCGTCAGCACGTGAATACCACAAGAGATGCCGGGAGAGAGCCTCTGCTTACCCCGAGTCCTCGATCGCCCGTCGGGCCATCAGGGCCCCTGCTGCCGTCGGGCATGATGGGCTCCATTCTCCCGTCGGCGTGCTTTATCGTCTGGGAGCCGTCCGGGTGTGTGATGACCTGGGGCGCCGGCGAGCCGTAGGGATGCTCGCTGCCGGGGACCGGCGTGCCCGTCTGCACGGGATCCGTGGGCACATCCCACTGCGAGACGCCCGTGGCCAGCTGGACGTAGTAGTACTTCCTGCTGGATCCGTCCCACTGGGCGATCCAGCCAGCGGGCAGGCTGGGAGGCGCAAAGGTAGGGCCCTCGGCGCCGGGGGTTGACGAGCCCGCCATGTTGTTTCCTCGGTCGATGGGCGACGCCTCTTGCTGTGTGCCCTCGAAGGATGTCGCGAAAACGTGGGTGGCTCGAATGGGAGACCGTGCGGTCTGGAGAAGCCGTTCGCGGGGGAGGGGGGGAAGACGATCGGTGCTGGGCTTGCTGGAAGCAAGGGCCCCCCGGTGAAAAGACGACAAAGTAAGAGGAAAAGAAACAGAGGGCAGAAGAAGAAAAAGAAGCGACTCCTAGGTGAGGAAAAAAGAAGAAGACAAGAGTAGGGGGCGGAGAAGAAAAAGAGAGGAAGAGGAGGAAGAGGAAGAGGAGGGGAGAAGGAGGGAGGGAGGGAAAAAGGATGCGATTGTCACCCAGTTGGCTGTCAGTGCTAAACGTCCCGATCTGGTCGGTCAGGGTGGTGCTATTACTATGTACTTGGATGTACAGCCTACTGGTAAGGCAAGGCGAGGTACCCTTATGGCTGGACTGGGCCTGTTCTCAACAAGTTGGCAGTGCCCAAGCCAGCAAAGATTACTACTACTTATTACACTACTACCGACTACTGGGTTGGAAGAGTAGTCTACCTTATGTACGCGCAACAAGATGGGAGCAAATGGACTGTGTGGGGTTGACGAGGCCGCTTGGGGGTCAATATTGCTTCTGTCTTTCGTCTGAATCTTCGTTGCGCTCACTGCTCACCCACCCTCAACATGTCGTCCTACCTGTATATCCCAGGGAGACGGAGAGACAATGAGGTTGGTCGTGAGAGCGCGAGTCTGACACAGCACCCGCTCGACCGCGTATTCGATTATGTCTACAGAGTACAGGCCGCCTGGTGTTGTTTTTCCATCGTGTCATTGTGCCAGCAACAGAGTCGCATCAGGGATCCTTTGGATGCTGACGACGAGGGCAAATACATACCAGCCATGCCTTACACATTACTTACCCAGTCCCTTCTCACGCTGACAGGCAATGCATCTACAACTACCTCCTGTCTGGAAGTCACGCAATCAGTTCGTCCGGAGCAAAAGCAAAGCTGATAGCGTCCATTTGGGCACCCAAGCAAGTCAAGGCACCGCCAGATGCGATCCGACACAAAGAAGTATCGCTGCTGCTCTCTTCCGGTACTGTGTACCCTCTTCTCCGGCCATCGCCCGCCATCGTGCCTAAGTACCCGCCACCCGCGTCGCTACCTAAAGCTACCTGCTCCCAAGTTCCTCTTTGCCACCAACAAGAATCCCAACCTGAACCTGACCACAAACCATGTTCGACTGAAAAGAGAATTTCGTCTTCAACCCATCGTCATCCTCCTCATCAGCTTCCATCATCCCTGCATCCGCGTTAAAATTCAAAAAGTCACAGAAAAACGGCCCAAACTGTGGCGCAGCTGGCCCTTGGACCCTGGATTTTTGGCCTCCGTTGCCTCGGATGAGAGATCTCAACTTGATCCATGCATGGCTGAGCAAAAAAATGTCTCCGTTTGCGGCTCACGTGCTTTTTGTTCTTCGGCGATGCCTTGGCACGGCATTCGTTCGACCTCGCTGTCAGCTCTTTTCTTGTCGGCGGCCTCCGTGGTTCGACGGGACTTTCATCAGCGCGGTGTGGCTCTGCTCGTTCGCGGGTTGCCTCTCGATCGCTTTTATGTCGTGTTTTCTGTGTCTTGTTTCTTTGAACGTGACGTGACGCCTCCTCCTGCTAACCGGAATCCCAGCAATGAAACATTCAGATTAGACACATCTTGAAGGCATTCGCAACTTCGAGCCACATGCAATTCATTCACATCACAGCGTCACAAGCAAAACGCAACCATCTTGATCTGTACGACTTTTATTCCTTTTCATTTCTCAAATCTACATATCTAGGAGGTATCTCTTATATGCACATCTCGTCCCAGTGTTCACCGCGTTTGTTCAAGAGCCTCTCCTTTTTGGCTCCATGCAAAGAAAAAGAAACAAATAGCAAAGTGTGCCCGGCTGCCCTTTTTTGGCCGCTGACAACCAGCTGCGAAGAAGAAGAAGAAGAAGAAGAAGAAGAAACCAAGTTGTTGAACCAAAATGCGTCCAGCAAAAGGTACAAGAAGTGAATCAAAGTGAAAGACACAGTATGCCCCTGCTACCAACGAATAGGTGTTGATGACAGTTCAGGTGACATTGTTCTCTTTTTTCTCCGTCTAGGCAGTGGCATCCTCCCCCCGGAATCGCTTAGGAACAAAGCGTCCCCGTCGGACGAAGCTCCTCTTGTTGACCATAGTCAGGGAGTCGCTCGTTCCAGGCTGGCAAGAAGTGCCTTGAGCCACGGGGATGGCGGCGGACCACACCCCAGAGGCACATCGCTGGAATGACTTTCCGTCAGACGCACAGCTCCACTGGCCCTCATCAGTGCAAGGCGATCCTGCAGCGCTCGAAGTGGGAGCAGAGCCGTTGGCCGGCGGGCTGCTGGTGGTCGGCTGAGGAGCCGTCGTAGGGGCAGCCGGAGCTGGAGCCGAGGTTGGGGCCTCAGGGGCAGGGGAAGGCTGTTGCTGCGCCGGGCTCGAAGTGGCGGCCGGAGCCGGGCTGCTGGCCGTGACGCTGATGAGAGTCGTCGGCTGCACGGGATGGGTGATGAAGACACCACCAGGGGCAGTGGGAGCCGCTGACGCCGCAGGCTGAGTAGCTTGAGGCTGGCTGACTGGAGCCTGCGAGGCCGGTCTATGTTTTCATCATGTTAGCACCAAAGGCCAATCAACAAACACAAGTTTTGATTGGAACAAAGATTGACTTACGAGCTAGCTGCAGGGGCGGCTGAAGAGGCAGCGGCAGATCCAGCAGGAGGAGCAGCACCGCCAGCCGGAGGTGCTCCAGAGCAAGTGCCCTGTCCAGGAGGCGCGGTGCCCTGGCTCTTGTTGTCGACATCCGGGCCTGGGTTGGGGAACAGGACGTCCTTGCCCTCGTACGTGCAGACGCCGTTGCCGACGTTGGCGACGAAGATGTCAGGAAGGTCGGCCAGGGGAGTCGAGGCACGGTCGGCCAGAGGAGCCGAGGCAGCGCGCTTCTTGCTGCCGCTGATGGTGACGGCGGCGCAGTTCATGTACATCTCGCGGTTGCCGATCTGGTTGAACCAGGTCCAGGCGAACATGGCCTCGCCGGCGGGAGCGTCGGTGGGCACGGTGAAGTTCCAGTTGGAGTCCTGCTGGGGCGGGCAGCCGCCAATGTACGAGTGGATGACCTTCCAGGTCTTGCCCTGGTCGTAGGAGAGCGACGCCTGGCAGCTGCCTCCTCCGTGGTTGGCGGAGCCGGTGATGGTGAAGCCGTACGAGCCGCCGGGGGCCCAGGTGGCCACGGACTTGCCCTCGGGGGTGCCGAGGAGGCTCTGGTAGCCCTTGCAGGGGAAGTCGGATCCAGAGGCCTCGAGGGGCGAGGTCATGGAGTAGTCAATGTCCTGGCCGGCGTTGGGGTTGTACTTTGACTTGAAAGGAGGGGGGTCCTTCATCTCCATGTGGCCGTGGACCGCAGAAGCCAGTCCGAGGACGGCAGCGGCAAGTGCTTGGGTGAACTTCATGATGGGGGATTGGGATGTTGGTTTGTTGGCAAAGGAGAGAGAAGATGGTTGAAAAGGAAGTGCGAGAGCAGCAGAGTTTTTGTTGTGCGTTTTGTTTTGGCAACCGAATGAGGGTCTTGTCAGCTGGCAGCTGTTTGGACGGCCTGGTGTGTACACGACCGACTGTTTGTGTATGTGTGTGTCTTGGGTGTGTATGTACACGGATTCAAGTCCAGCTCGAATCAAAGATGATGATGCTGATGATGTTTGAAGAAGAAGAAGAAGAAGAGAGGAAGAGAGAGAAGAAGATCTCGAAGATGTAATGAACCAAGAAGGCGGCTGCGAAGTGAATGGCCTATTCAATCTCAAGTTCACAACAGAACAATAGCCAAGTCAAGGAATGAATCTTGGAATCTATTGGGAGAACAAAAAAGAGATCACACACAAAGAAGTGAAGAAGAAGGGGAAGAAGGGAATGAACAAACGCAACACTGTTGTCTGGGGACAGAACAGAAGAGAAGAGACCAGGCCAAGGTGAGACCTCCATGAACCTTTATACTTACGTCCCTCCCAACGACAACACACACATACCTACTCAGTCAATCATTACATGGCATCCCCCCAACCCTCCCACTCTCTTGCTCGTGTACCTGCATGAAAGCCAAGAAGGCGGCTTTCGCAGACTAGACCAGGGGGGGGGCCTGTCCCGTCGTTTCCCACGCGCGAAATGTCCCCTGCCACCAAATCACTCACTCACTCACTCACTACTCGAGAAAAAAAGAGCCGCCCAGGCCTCCATCAGTCCCATGCTCGAACAACTGAAAAAGAAGCACAAGAAGAAACAGACAGGGGTGAATCAAGCGCCGCCATTCGCCTGCCGATCGCCGCCCACCCTTCCCCCCCCTGGTCCAGCTGGGCTAGATGTAACCAGACCAGTCGTCAGTCCAGTCAGTCGACAGCCACAACAGGCGAGAGGGGGCGCTGACGAGAAACAACGAGGCTTTGGCTTCTGATTCTCTCATCGTATCACAGGCAAAGTCTTCTTCGCAACGGGGGGCCCGCGCCAGTCTCATGTCTGTGTGCATGTAGATCGAGGACTTCAGCCGGATTGTCTCCAGCCCAACCATTTCCAACTTTCCCATCCGCATTTACCCCTGCACAAGCGCCCCCCCTACCCTCCTCCGGCACTTCCACGCAGGACCATCTACATACAATCCAGAACCAACAAAAAGAAAAACCAACCAAATATGAAAATACTCTTCATGCATTGCTCGCAAGGTTTTAAGGCAGCGATATCACTTTCGCAACACATACGCAGAGAGGCAAGTTCCCCATAGCCGCACAGAACCAGAAGATCGCCGTCGTGCCCCTGCACGTAAAAAAGAAGCATCACCGGCGGCTATCCCATACATAAGCACCCAAAGTAAGCACCCAAAAGCGACACCCCCAGCTCTTTCTCTCGCCAGCGCCTAAAAAACGCCCGACGAGCCAAAAGGAAAATCCCCCCAAGGCACGATGTTCATCCGAAAGAGCATCATCCAATCGCCTCACAGCCAATGACGCCCCCCCAACACCCCCTGCCATGAAACATGTTTTCGAAACACAAGCCCCGGCCCCAAATACCACTTTACCTTCTCTTCACCTTACTCAATCACTACATTACTACATACAACACCAGGGATCATCCATCATGCCCCCCCGGAAAAAGAAAGTCAAAAGAACTTCACATGTTCTCCCATAATATTCCATCATCATATTCACTTACGTACACTTATTTGCGTCCCGCGTTTCTCATAAATTCATCCCGCCTCCAATAAGCCCCAGCATCTCGCCCCCAAAGTGATACTACACATACATACCACCACCACATAAACTAGGAATATTACTCGCAAAAGGCAAAAAAGGGCATACGACATCACATGCAGTCCAGTCACTTGCAATTCTTCCCCCTATTCACGGGCTGCAACCAAAAAAAAACCACGACTCAACATCCGCCCAAACGACCACGCAGATCCCCCTTCACCCCATTCACATTCAAACATTCACCTCACTCTCTCCTCAAAGAAAGCCAGAAACCTCCTCTTTTTTTTTTTTTTTTCTTTCTTTTGTTTGCCTCACAACTCCTATCCTATCCCCTCCCTTCGCCACCACCGCCCTGAACATCACCATCCCCATCCTGTCAAACTACGGAACCTCGGCAACACACGACATACATACGCGGGCCACAACAGCAAAACCTCATCTCTTCTTCTTCTCCCCTTCTTGGCTTCATCATCTCGAAACACACAGCCAAGATCCCACCTCTGCTTGTAGTTTAGCCCAGCTTGTCACGTTTCATCCCAAGCGGATCGAGCCGGACCAAGTGGCCACTGGGTGGAACCGGATGCCAAACCTGAAGTTCACTAACCTCTCGCCCAGCCCGCGCCTTAGTTCGACAACCACAGACGTAGTGGCATGATTGCTATTGTCTAACCATCGTCAATACAATGCCCAGATGCCCTTTAATGTCACTTGTAAATTACGCACCACTGGTCAGTGCTGCTTCCGTGCCTGTACTAACTCACCGAGAGAAATCATCATCTGATTCGTGAAACAGACAATCAATGAATAACGTAAGACAAACATGCAAAGTACACTACATCGCTGGCTCACGAGACGTGCACAATTATACACATGCTTGAATGTATTCGCTCAGCTGGATATTGCATCGAATAGTACCTGTGCCTAACTCTACCTCAAAATTCATCAGATAAAGCTAGCAGTACTCTCGAGCCTCTGATGCTCGACCCTCAGGGAGCATCCACGGTCTCGTCCTGCTCATCTCCGTCAACGACGCAGGGGGCTGACAAGCCGAGCAATCACATGCCTCCTCTCCCTCTGTCCTCCATCGATCGCTTGCCTTGGAAACAAATGGTGCCTTTGGGTCATCATCGTAAGTAGTCGTATCTCATCCCGCCCTCCCTGCGGCTACTTCTCCCTCTCCTTCTACGACACTGATGTTGTGGCCTCGCTTCATCTTCAGCGCCCTCTCCCCCTTTCCACAATAAGTACAACGTCATAGGTCGGCGGTCTCTCCAGAGTGGCGTTGCATTGCTGCATCTGCCTGGCCGTATGCATGTTCGCTAATGCTGTGGCTGCTAATCGTAGCACCTTGTTCCAACAACGTCGCCATTTCAGCGTCGTCGGTTGCCTCGACAAGCCCTCTAGGAGCTTGTCCCCCAGCTTGTCCGCAAACTTCCCATCGAAACATTGTCCTTGACTTGAACAAAGCTTGCGGGCGCGGTAGTCGCCGTGATGCATCGGCATGACTTGATTTCCTCGAGAGAATCAACTCTCCGGGGCCAAACTTGAGGACCATGTTGGCATAAAAAAGGATAGTCACCCCAACTGTAGACTTGGCTGTAAACGCTCATGGGCAACACCACCATAACAAAACTGTTCGATGCGCCTTTCCGCACACCTCCTTGGTTCTTCTCCTTCCCTCTCTTTTTTTGTTGTTTCTCTTTCTTGGATTGGTGAAATGATGGCTTGAGTTTGAGTTTCCTTTGCAAGATGTAAACTACCGCAAAGTAATCCAGAGCCGCAATGGAAAGCCAGAAAATGCCGCGGTGAGCGAATAGCAGCCAAAAACCAGACAGATATGCAACGCTCAGGGTGACCCTTCTCCTCATCATACTTTTGCAGATCTAAACATGCCGTGGCCCCCAGTCACCTACTTTGCTTCGTCCGGTCTTTCGACCTCCTGGTTCGGAGGAGACGTGGAAGCTGTACGGTTGGCTTGCGGACCCGAGTGAGCATGGGGTTGCTGCTGCTTGCCGGCGCCATGGTTGACATGGTTGTTATAGTTGCCGCCGCTGCTGTTAGGCGGCTGCGGGCTGTAGTGGTGCGGCACTTGCTGGGGGTTGGGCGAGAAATGTTGCGGCCCAGGTCCGGTGTAAGATCGCGTGTTAGACACTGCAAATGTCAGCCCCAGGAATCTTGCCTCCGCTCCAGAACTCTCCAAAGGGTCTTACTGACTCGGTGCACCGCCTTGTGCCGGACCGTATGCCGGCTGGTTGTATTGGATGTTGGGGCTCATGGCGTACATGTTATGACTTTGCTGAGAACCCTGATGAACCATCATCGGCGCGGCTGGTCGCCCGGGGCTGGGGTATCCGTTGGCCGCCGGCACCTGCTGCGGCGGGCCAGCGGGAGGCATGAACTGCGGATGGTGCGTGCCGTACATCATGGGCGGAGCCATCATCCCCTGAGGCCCGGCCATGAACTGCGGCTGCATCATCATTGGGGCTCCCATCTGTCCTTGTGGCGGGACGTAGTGCGGGTTGTTGGAATAGCTCCTAAACTGCCCAAGCTGAGGGTTGCCAGCACCAATGTAGACCGGTTGCCCGTATGGAACCTGTGCTCCAGGGTTGACTTGCTGGTACGCCACGGGCAGCTGTCCCATGCGAGGAGAGGCGAAGGACTGGGCGGAATTGGAGTGCATCATCCGGTGGTCGTCACCGCCATAGGGCTGGTGAGGCAGAGGTCCGTGCTGCGGCGTGTGCATCTGCATGGGGGGCATATGCGGAGACTGTCGCGGCATCATGTTATGTGCGCCGTGCTGGAGGTGGAACGGGAGCTGATGCTGGTGGGCCAGCTGAGGCACGACATGGGCCGGGTTGGGCGTCGGCATCGAGGGAGTAGCGGCGAACGGCTGTCGTTCAAAGAGCTCCTTGTAAGTGAGATGCATGGTGGAGTCGGGCTTTTCATCATCCTGCAGCTGGCGCCAGGTGGGAAGCGTGTCGTAGGCTGGCCGCAGGCCGCCGTTGTCGTCCCAGTTGCGGCCCTGGGGTGGCGCAATGGTCTTGATGTGCGCCAAGATGCAACACTTGCTGGGGTCGACAGCCTTGGTCTTGCGTCGGATGAGCTGCCCCTGAGGCTGGGCTGAGGCGGCGGGAGCGGCGGCGACGTCGGAAACATGGTTGACGGCTGACCGGGGGCTGGACGTGGCGCTGGGGTGGCCGTTGGGGTTGAAGGTCGGCGCGAACGGGCTGGGCCTGAACTCGTTGCTGTTTGGGTTCAGCTTGGCTCCGGGATGGCCGCTATGTCGCCGAGAGTAGTCGGCGCCATTAGCGGGACCCGTCGGCGGAGCACGAATCTCGGGACCGACAGCATGCTGATGCGCGGCGGGAGGCTGCGAGAACCTCTGCTGCTCCACGTTCCGAATGCGCTGCGCGAGCGTGTTAGAGTTGGAATGCGGCTGTGGAGCATGCTGAGGACCTACGCGGCCGTTCCTATAGCCCTGTGCGTGGTACTGCTGCTGGGGGAACTGCTGGCGAGATCCTGCATGACGGCCAGGCCCGCCGTTGGGGGGTGTGGCCTGGAGACCAAGAGCCCCTCGCGCAGGTCGAGCCTCGGTCGCAGCAGACGTCGTGGTCGAGGGAGACGCACGCTTGGGCTGAGCCACGTCCTTGGGCGCGACGACCTCCTTCTTAGCCTGGGCGGCAACGTCCTTAGCCTTGGCCGCCATCTCCTCAGCGTCCTTCATCGCTTTCGCCTGGATCTCTCGCTGCTTAGCAGGATCCTTGGCGATGATGGACACGAGATCCGAGGGCACCGGCGTCGACAACTTGAAGTCGTTGGCGAACTTTTTGAGCTCCGTCAACTTCACTTCCTTGTCCGCCTTTGCCTTGTTGCTTCTAGCTTTCTCGGCATTGAGGCGCTGCTGGGTAGCGAAGTTCTTGAAAGATACCAAAACGTCGCGCTCGACAGTCAGCGTTGCGCTGGGAGCATTTGGGGGGATCTGGGTGACAGGACGAGAGGTAGATCCAAGGGCGGTAGCCCGTCCATTTATACCCTGTTTCTCTGGCTCGGCTGACCGGGTAGTTTCTTTTGTTGGGGCTGGTGCTGGAGCAGAGGAAGCTGGAGCCGGAGCAGTCGACGAGTTATCCTTTCCCGCAGCCTTGGCGGTTGAGGAGTTTGTTGAGTTTGAAGGTTGAGCATCTGCTGGCTTTTGAGTTTCGCGCTTGGCCTGAGTTCCGTTCTTGAGAGCCTCGGAAGCGGAAGCTTTTGATGACTCGGCGGCCTTTGACGCTTCGGCAACTTTGGGTGCTTCGCCGGCCTGCGACGATTGCTGCTTCTTTGGCGCAGCTTTAATCTGTGAAGATATGATTGCCGGGTCCACTGGTGCGCCCCTGACTGTGGTCTGTCCAGCTGGTGCGCGCTTTGCCGGAGGCATATACCGATTCTCGCGTCCGGATGCCAGAGGCGGGAAGTCTTGGCGGCGGACGCCACTGTATCTGTAGAGGAGATTAGCCCACAGTTGCTCGGCAGACCGACGACGGCTGTCCGGAGCCCAACACTCACTTGTCTTCCTCGTTATCGTCAGTACGGTCCTTGCCGCCAGAGTAGTCCATAACACGCTCCTCGGCTACGTGGGCAGTCATGGCAGCACTACGTTCAATCTCTCTGGCCTTTTTCTCCGCAGCCGCAATTCTCTCTCGGTATTGCGGGTGATCCTTGTTGATGGCAGTGGTATAAATGTTCTCGTCATAGTCGGTCTTGAGGCCAAAAAGCCTCTCGTTCTCAGCGAACTGGTCCCATGGAGCACCAGAAGAGGAGGTCTTTTCCAACGACCCGTCAAAGGTATCGTTCTTGTCAGGAACCCACGGCTGCAGAACTCTCTGGCCACCGAAGCGACCGTTGGAAATTGCCGTGTCCGTCCGGAAACCAGATCGATTGCCTGAGAACATGGTTTAGCAGAAAGCAAGCATAAGCCACGATGATAGCAGCTTACCATTCATCTTTCCATCTGCCTTGGATGAGCTGCCCCCACCCTGCTGAGCGTCTCTTCTCGGCTGTGTAGGCATTGCGAAGCTTGCCTTTGGCGCAACTTCTCAGATCGGTTTGTTCAATCGACACAAATGCGACCCCCCTGTCGAATTGGCAGCAAGGCTTGCCGTGAGCGGACTCGCGTGTGTGTCGGGGTCTGACGCTGGGGCAAATGCGGGCTGCTGAGGACTGTTCCTCTAGCTATTCTCCGGCCTGGCAGAAGGCATTTGTTAGCACCATGACACGTGCGTGTTTGGAGGACGAATGGCTGTGAAAGCGCATTGGAAGCTTGCGAGAACGGGAAACAAGAAAAGGGAAAAAAAAGTGGCAGTGCGGCCAATGGAGCCAATGAGGGCCAACACAAGAAGACAGAAAGGTGACTCTACCACGCGGGAGCAACTGGAGATTGCCGACAGGCTCCGGACACGAAGCGGTGTCAAAGGGGGGGAAGTGTCTGAGATGCTAGTAGATGAAGCCAGACGAGCCTCGTGATGGTGATAGGAAAATGGCTTGTGTGTGACTCGAGCAGGCCACCGGGCCGGGCAAGTCGGAGGGGCTCGTTGCGGAGGAGACAGCAGCAGCAGCAGCAGCAGGAGGAGGAGGAGGAGGATTAAGGAGAGGCAGGATGGAGTACCTTGGGAGGAAAAGAGCGAGGAGGGAAAGAGAAAGGCGTCGAAGGAGGTTGCTTGTCGCCAGCGCTCGCTCCTGAGCCGCACAAGACAAGTATTAGCGTGGGTATCGTCGTGTGGAGGCGCTCGCAGAGCAGAGACCACGAGTATCGACGGGTGAGAGGCCGAGGCGCAAACAGAACAGCTTGTAGTTGGACAAGCGGCGGATTGGCCAGGCGGAGGGAGGATCAGTGCAGTGGGAGCAGCTGCAGCGAGGCGAGCGGGAGAAGCTGCAGAGGCACAGCGGGCAATGGGGGGGAAAGACAGAAAAGAAGAGCAAGCACACAAGGCACAAGGAAGCGGAGGGCGAATCGTGACAGCTCCAAGGTTCAAATACCGACCAGGGAAAAAAAAGGGTCGAAAGGCGGCGCTGCTTCGGTGGGGAAAAAAACGAGGCGGGAGCACGACCAAAAAAAAAGAGGCCCCGGAGAGGCTTACCTTGCGTGCTGGAGACTGGAGACCCGGAGAGCTGGAGGATTGGCGGAAATGGGGGGTAGAACAGGGCAGAGAAGAAGAAGAAGAAGAAGAAGCTGAAGAAGAAGAGGCCCAGAGTCGAAAGGAGAGGGTCTGGGTCGAATGTCGTCCAGCTGGCCGCTGCTACGAGAGCCTCGCAATGGGCCGAGGGGAAACGAGGAAGACAGAAGCTTGAAGGAAGAAAAGAAGAAGGGGGAAAAGAGAGTGAGAAGCGTGGGAGGAGGAGTGAAAGGGAGGACGAGGCGACGGTGGAGGCGGTTGGCGAGGCTTTGCTCTGCGCAGGTTTGCCTTTTGGCCTTTTGGCTGTGGTGGGCGGCGGATCATGGAGCGCTACCGCCACTTTTTGTTTGGAGTCCGGGTGAGCCCGCCCTTGTTCACTCTTGCCGCTGCTGCCACTGTAAGGTACCGGTAGCTGGCGAGCTTCAGGGGAGTTGAGCGCTACAACGGGCCGCCATACGGGGTCACTACGCCTGTAATCTTGAACGGATAATGATCCATGGATGTGATGCTTTGATGGTCCCTGATGGCCTCAACTTGCTGTGTTCGAATGCCATTGCACCTTCTGGCCGACTCGAGTTCGTATCTGTACTCTGGGTGTCTGCACGGCCACCTCCAGCTGCCGCGTGTTCGTCCAGCGTGGCCCTCGCGTGCTGACCTGCCGGCTGCTGCTGCTGCACTCCAGTCACTGCAATGCGCTGTTGTCAACTTGCGCGGCGCTTTAGGCTCTGCAGCGCGCGCCCTGCAGCCATCCAGAAGGACGTGGAAAGTACCGGTACGAACGTTGAACTTGACCGATGCGCCATTCGCACGCAGTTCGGTTCACATGCTGCGTTGTTCATGACTGTGAGCAAACGCCATCGAGACTGTCATATCCGTACATCTACGAGCTCCGAGGGGGGCCCAAAGTCACATCAGCCCGCCAAGTAACAGGGCTCTGGCGGGAGGTACGCTGGACGTTTCTGTCCGAAACATAGGATGGACATGGGGTACGTTAGCAGGCAGATTCAGTGCTTCATTGATGAGGATACCAGTTTCTAGGAGATACTTGACCGCATAGGTAAGTGAAAGAGGCCGTGAATGCAGTACAATTGCCGTGGAGAAGAAGAGACAGAAGCAGAGAGAACACGGCACGCTCAAAGTGGCATGATGCCCACGATGGTGGTGGCACCGCATAAGGTGCTGCAGAAGTCTAAACAATCCGTGTTCGTACGGAAGATAAAGGCCTTGTCCTGTTGGCAACCGGGGCAGTTAGAGTCACTCACTCTGATCTAGAAGAAGCCGCGGAAATGGAAAATTAGGTGATACCTACCGTACCTAATAACGTAGGTTTCTGAAGGGAAAAAGTGAGTTGGCTCTCAGTCGGTCTACGTCTGAGCCTGACATCACCTCGGATTCATCTCAACTTCGTCTCAAACTCCAGTATACTACCTAATCCAGCCTAGCGGCATATGTGTCGCAGCTTGCATTGACGAGCTCCCGAGGCTTTCGCATTACAAGTAAATGTAGACTCTCTTGATTCAATTCCCAACACGTAGATCTCCATGCAATTAGAAACCAATTGACCAGGAAAAACGTAAAGAGAGATAGAAATTGGTTCGAAGGAATCAAACTGCTCCCAGCAGCTGCATCAGCGCATCCCGCCTGTTTCAACGTCCCTGCAAATCCGGCGCCCAAAACAACCCCTCCATCCTAAATCCCCAACACAACAGGGATCCTCCCACCCAGAAAATCCAACCACCAAAATCTCCATCATCGCCAACTTCTCCCGTCCTCTCTTCCTTCTAACAACCCGACCCAATTCAACGCGAAGCACACATCGATTGCCCCCTCCTCCTCCTCCCGACAACTCAGCCATGCCTCCCTCCACGATGGCAGCGCCCCAAAAGCCTGCCCCTCCGTCGTCCCCCGTCAAGAACGCCTACCTCATCGCCTACAATGCCCTCTCCGCCGTCGCATGGGGCCTCGTCCTCCAGTCGACCGTCCTGACGCTCTTCGAGTCCGGGCCCAGCATCGTCTACCTCACCACCGGCGAGTTTACAAAATGGACGCAAACCGCCGCCGCCATGGAAATCATCCACTCCCTCTTCGGTACGTCCATATACAACGACAAACAAACCACGAAACACGTCGATTCTTCGGTTTTGCTAACAATATATACGTGCAACCGAACAGGCATCGTCCGCGCCCCCCTCCTCACAACCCTCATGCAAGTCTCCTCCCGCTTCCTCCTCGTCTGGGGCGTCGTCCACCTCTACCCCTACCTCGCCATCGAGTCGCCCACCTACTCCTCCATGCTCGTCGCCTGGTCCGTCACCGAGGTCATCCGCTACTCCTACTTCGCCCTCTTCCTCTCCGGCTTCACCCCGCGCCTCCTCACCTGGCTGCGCTACAACACCTTCTTCGTCCTCTACCCCGTCGGCATCCTCAGCGAGTGCTCCCTCGTCTTCCTCGCCGCCGTCGGGCCCGCCGCCGCCGAGAAGAGCTATCCGCGAGCTTTGCTGCCGTATGCGCTGTATGCCATTTTGGCCATCTATGTTCCGGGTGAGTAGTATATGCAGTCTTCTTCCTTTCCTTTCCCTTTGCTTGCTATAGTTGCTGACAAGGGGGGCCCTTGCAGGCGCTTATATCCTCTACACGCACATGATGGCCCAGCGAAGAAAGGTCATGCGAAGCTTGAAGGCAAAGGACGAGAAAGCGACGCAATAGACCCGGTAAACGATATATCATATACTACAAAAGAGCAGGAAAGCAAGCTTAACACACTTGAATTAGGACTTTTTCATATCTACATACTATATCTGATTGGAGTAATTGCTATGGGATATAACCGACAGACGTAATCACGAAGAACAAAGAAACGGCGTGTCTATAAAGACTGTAATAATGCTAATCCTAAAATATACAATTCAACCATCTCCCCCGACCTGATCCAATCCATCATCACCTGTATCTGTTGCGTGACGCCTTCACCTAAGCTGCTTCTGCTGAGAATACTGAGACCTAGACCTCGTTTCACGGATCGCTTCCGGCCAGCCCTTGTTCACCCACGCCGCAATCAAGCCCGCCGAATCCCCCAGCAGCTTCTCGTACGCCGGGTTCTTCTTGGCTTCAAACATGCCTAATTGTCATAGCATCATTAGCATCTCATCAAAAATCGGCTCAAACCAGAGAAGAAAAGGTAGGGGGTTCAGGGAAAAGGGGCAAACATACTGATATGCGCCGTCGTCTCGTCCGCCACGGCATCATTCACAGCCTCGATCCACTTCCCCGCGGGCCCTTTGGTCGGCACGACGCAAAACGTCCTGTCCTTGCCCAGCACCGTGCCCACCATGCTGACCGTCTTGCTCTCCGCCCCCTTGCCCAGCCGGGTGTACAGGTTGGCGAAGCCGACGTCCAGCTCCGAGCTCAGCTTGGCCATGTAGGCGACGCGCTGCTTGAGGGCCTCGGGCCGGGCGAGGCAGCCCACGAACTCGAGGTGCGACGACACCCACGTCCAGCCGGTCGAGATGTGCTCGCGGTTCATCCACGCCGCCGCGCCGCCCGCCGCCATGGCTCCCGCCGCGGCTCCGAACATGGCGATCTTGCCCCAGCCCCAGCCGCCGCCCTCGTCGTTCTTGGCCGGCGTCGTCTTGGTCAGCGCCGAGGCGGCCGAGGCGGCCGCGCTGGCGTCGTCGCCGCCGCCGCCCGCCATCCGCCACAGCGAGCTCAGCGACGACAGGGCCGACTGCGCCGTCTGGTAGTGGCCCTCGGCGCCGTACGCGACCACGCCGGGGGCAATG